AAAGAGGTGTCAATTGAGTTTATAATCTCTTTATTTTCCATTATATACAAAGGTGGGAGATGGGGCATATAATGTCAAACGTCGAGCTGCATGGCTTGCAGCTTGACGAGGCGCCCTACCCGGTGTGGCAGAAAAGCAGCAGAAATGTTTCAGACAACACAAGCAAAGAACAAGATACTGTACCAGTTTGAACCTGCAATCGTAAAATGAAAACGTACACAACGTGCTGCAGCAGAACAATTTCCAGATGTTGAGGCCCGAGACATTTGGATGATACACATGCAATCACGAGTAAGCTTGAACCGTGCGACTATCTCACACGACACTCACCACGGTGAACGAGGCACCCGTTTTCTACCGAGAGCTCTCGTGCAAGCGCATTGAGAAAATGTGTATTGAGTACTTACCGACAACACCGCTGAATTCGCATCGCTGAACTTCTTGGTCGTCGTCTTTCCGTCTTCACTTGGCGCGCGAAGCCCACCCACCTTCAGCCCCGGGTTATCGATTATCGCCTCTGTAGCATCCAAAGAATACGACTCGCAGCACACCGACGCACGGTGACGCCTTCGTCGCAGCAAAATGTTCCGCCAGCAACGCTCAAAGAGAGCACTTGCTGCTCGGCGGTCACCATATGGGGCCCCTCGCGACGCCGCCAAAGCTTCCACGGCAAATGTCAGCACCAGCGAGTGTCGGTCAGTATTCCCCGATTACGTCCCTGACGAACCTTGAACGGCGAACACATAAAAACGTAGCGATAGTCCGCTTTGGTCCACCCCGTCCGCGAGCTTGAACGTCGCCATCTTCATTCACTTTGACAACTTTTGCTGCCCGACTACTACAAAGTTATCTCCATCGCCAAACTCAATCGTGACGACATTTTGACGTCACCGCGAACTTCATTATTTCAACAGCATAGCTCGAACTTCATCGGAATCCGTAGGGAAAAACTCAATCGCAACGTCACATCACGTGACCAAAAGGGCAGCCAATCAGCGACCGATTGAGTTAACTTCATCGTTGAGTTTGCGATCTAGCATAGACAGACTGGATGAGTTTCGTACCGGCACGCGTTCGTGTAATCACTAACGCGTGATGCTCGTTAAAAACCCCAGCTTAGCGGTTGTACTGCACTGGCTAAATTTCTCATCTACAGCTAAGAGACCGATTACCCATTGAGGCGTATCTCCATCAAGGCTGTATAAACATACAGAGCAAGCCAATATTTTTTAGTTACTTTGTGAGCTGAAGCACTCGTTCCTGAAAGCAACGGCCATGGGAAAACAATATTTCGTCCCTGCCTTCCAGTCTCCATGGTCGCGCGACGTCCGATGTTGCCGTCTCCACGTCGATGCAGATATGGCGCTTTGTAAAATACAACTAAGTACCGCCGCATGTTAAAAAAAAAAAAAAAAAAATACCTGTTTTTGTTTAGATCATACGCTACTACGAAAATCCCTTTTTAACTCAAAGGCTGCTGTGTCGAAGTATTGATTACCTAGGTTTCTCTCGGTGGGCTTTGTTTGGAGATTGACCCCAGTACGTGAAAAATCTGCCGCGAAATAAAGTTGGTGGAGAGAAGTGAGCCAAAGTAAAGATGGCCATGTCTGCACGCTGAACCCACACAGCACGCTTGTTATCTGAGGTTCATTCGTTGCACAAAACGCTCCAAGAACTTTTTGGCCCTGGCTCGTAATGTCTTGCATCAATGTGCTCAGGTTCTTTTTTTTTTTTTTTTTTTTTTTCCCTTTGTGTTTAGCTTGTACCTCGCCAGCCAGCCTGGTAAGCACGTGCCGCTGGGCTTTCTTTTGTCATATGCTGGACAGTTACATTTTGTGCACAATTTTGGGAACCAGTTGGCTACGGAGCGGAGTGGCATGGTTCCGATCGAACAGCCATCTCCGCTCGCGCGAGAATTTCGCATTGCACTGCAGTGGTCACGTGTTTCATCAGTTGGAAACTGCTTCCATTTATATAACTAGCCAACCTAATGATTTAATATTTACTACTAAGCCGGTCATTTTCAGATAAAATATTGATATGTGCAGTTTGGTTCTCATTTAACATAGCGGGTATCAATAAAATGGTGGCAAGCGGATATAGGGAACCATGCAGTAAAACGGTGGCAAGTGGTTTTTCGGAATTGCTCGGCAATGCCTACAGCCCTGTACACTTGTGGGATGTCTCAGCAGTAAAAACACAAGCCATCACAACACGTCACATCACAACACAACACCAAGTGCCCTTCGTTTGTACAGCACTTAAAACATATATTTTTATTTTTCTAAGCAATTATCTGCTAAGAATATCACTAATAAATGTAAAAAAAAAAAATCAATCGATGTAATTTTTTATGGTCATATTTGCATAAAAAAAGGTATAACCTCAAATCTCTTTTTGATGCATATTCAAGTCATACATTGCAATTATTAAATAAATACAGCAGTTATAAATGTTTACGGTTTATTGTTTGTGCTCCGTAAAAATTGCTTTACACGAAGAAATGTTCCAAATTTCGGTGCAATGTGTAAGATATGTGTCAATTTTTCTACATACACAAGCTAACTGAACAAGAAAATGTGTATTTTTTAATATTTTGTGCTTATAGCATAAGCTTAAAGGATAAAACCATATTTCTAGAACAGTGCACGCAGCACAGGGGTGGTCAAAGAAAACATTTTCAATATTTCTTAGTACTTTTTTTGCAATATGTGAATTTTTCTAAGCTTTTGATAGGTATTTCCTTTGACAGAAATGACAGTAATTTAGGTGAGAATGTAATAATGTGTTGTATAGAAGTGTGACTGTAATAGGTAAAGTGTAAATGTATGTAAGTCTGTCTCAAATGCAGGTCTAGTTCACGCTGTGTTTACATTGGCAGCATCCATTCTCTTTCAGTCATATTTACATTACCATACGTTTTCAAAACTCTTTTTTTTTTACATTATATATTAAGTAAAGAGTGCGACTTACTTAGCGTGAACACGCAGCCACCGGTGTGGCTGCGTGTTCACCCACCCACCTAAGCGCGAAAATTGGGTGGTCGATACAATACAATCCTACATATGAGTAAAAGAAAAAAAACAAAAAAAAAAACAACAAAAACACCAACAGCGGGATTAAAGCGCGAAACACATGTACGACGAAACCGTCCGATCCGACGTGCGGACTGCCGGAATGACCTCGGGGGGAGAGGGTTTTCGTAGCATCGGAGAGCGTGGAAAACCCTCGCCTCCGACCGTCGTATTGCGCGGTCGGACGTCGGATCGGACGGTTTCGTCGTACATGTGTTTCGCGCTTTATGCTCACGTTGTGTCTTGCGACCTACATCCGTATGGATATTTACAAAGAAGCAGGGATGGTAAATAACACGAGACACGAGCCTGCAGGAAATGTGACTAATGCTTCTTGATAAAAAAAAAGAAAAGACACATGCTTGGTTATGTTGTAAGGGAAGCACAGAATTTGTTGAGCGCGCAAACTACCACCTCACCGAAATTATTATCACGTGACTCGAGGTCGCAGAACGGGGGGTCACGCGACCTCAATTTTCCCGCTAAATTTAGCTCGAGAATCGACGTTACGTGACAATAGTCCTCCCGCTAAGTTTTGCGGGGTAATTAACGGTGTTAAAAAAAGAAAATGAGCTATCCTCAAAAAATAAACGCGTATAGTTTTTTTTAATTTTTTTTTTAGATAAAGAGCGCGGCAGAGTGACACACATTTACACTGTGTCGTTTCTTCTTGTTTTTTGCTGCTTTGGTCGACATTAATCTACTTGCAATGTGTAGTCGAGAAATCAGGTGGAACGTGGCGTCAGCTCATCAATATATCGTACGCTGCAAGCCATGTTTGTAACCACGTGTTTTGCGTCCTGCCATGGTGTATAATTACTAGGGTTCCGTGTTTTTGGGGTTTGTTTTAAATTGAACTTGTTTTCTTTTTTCCTATGTGTATTTCTATCCCTACGTATCCAGTGTTTTTGGTGTCTATTTCCGGTGTCAGACAAAACTTTGGCGTTTAGGGGGGTTTTGTCGAAGAAAACGTGATGGGGGAATAGTGCTACTACTACTAATGATAGTAATAATAATAATAGTAGTGATGATAATAATAATAATAATGACAATAATTTACAACCTCTAGGGAATGCACGTCACCTCAATAGTTGAAAAATTGTCTAGGTACCAATAAAAGAAAAAAAAACGAGATATAGGGCATGTTCCTGAGTGTTAGAAGTAACGATGTTACTGTAAAGGGTTGGACGTTTCAGTAACGCATTAACATACTCGTTAGTTTTCTAAATGTGTAACGAGTGAAGAATCTTTTTTACTATTTTACAATATTGTTTATCAAAGTAGTTACTCATTAATTTTTTGTAAGATTTTTCTTTTTCAGCTTAAAAAAAACAACAAAAAAAAGTTAATTCACATTCTGTTAGTTTCACCGAAAAGGGAAAATAAATCCTCCGCGGTATTATTTTAAATTCATTCATAGAGAAAGCAAAGTAAATCCAATAGGAATTTTAAGAAAAACACTTGCAAATACGAAGAAAGGAAAAAAAAATAGAATAAATACTGTCAAACCACTCTAAAAGTTTAATTGTCGTCCAAGATCGTATCCGGGAATTATCGCTGCTAAATAATACTAAAATTTTAATAAACGCAAAAGTAAGCATCGTTAGGTTTAAAAGTAATCTCTGTAACATTTAATTTTAGACGAAATAACAAGTACAATGCTATTTCATACTTTTTTTTTTTTTTGGTTTTCTAGAGGAAAGAAAGAAGTGTCTGTGGACAGAGTTTAGTGGTGGCTGTGTTTTGTATCATGGCAAAACAAAGCTAACAAAAAATATTTCGTCAAACATGTTTTTTTTATTCAGGCGCAGCTCCGAGGTTTCTCTTTTTTTTGGTGTTTCCCGATTTTAGTAAAACCGGCTCGCTCCTTGCAAAGGCCTTCTTTACCGTGTTGTGAGCGCCCCTTCTTCTCCTTGTCCTTATCAGGACTCTGGTGGGAGCCATCAAGGACCAGTCGACATCAAACTTCCAGGGTGCCAACCACACGGGAGCTCTGCACAAGTGCAGGCTCGATACCGGGGGCTGCACGGAGGTACCCATCCAACGAGACTGTGAGTGCATTCGTTAAAAAGTTGACTGCTCTAAATGTATAGCATTTGTAGGTCCTCTGTGACGTCACATCATGTCACGGTGTTACGTGAAACCATGACCTCGCAGTTTCACCTGACGTCATGGTCTTACATGCAGTCGCAGTGTCACGCAGCCATCAGGAAAGCACCAAGTAATAATACTTAAAAAACAAGCGAGCTGGTGATCGATGATTCATGGTAATAAAACCCGAGACTCAGGAACACAGAAGGGGATGAAGTGTTCGTCCCCTTCTGTGTTCCTAAGTCTCGGGTTTTATTACCATGAATCAACGTTATTATATTAGCTCCGTTAGGGAACTGCTCATAGACGCTGCTTGCATGAGCAGAATCCCCTTCTCCCACCACGGCTCACCTCCCGTCGTTCAGTGCGCCGGACAGCTGCTATGGTAACTGTAGTGTATTCTATGAAATGCGCACGTTTAGAAGCACAGCGTCTAAATGGCATTCCATCATACTCTATGGAACACAGTTTTGAAATGAAAATCTAGATGGCACTTCAAACGACGGGAGGCGGACTGAAGTGAGTGAGGGGCGGGCTGCCTCCCAACCCGGGAGTTCCACAACTGATATTTTGATAACATTGTCATGTGCCTCGTGTGACGTGACGTCGTAGTGCCACATTCTGTCACAGTACCACGTGTAAGACGACGACCCGATGGTTACCTCTCATGGAAATAGTCACCGTTCCAGCACAACGGCCAGACAGCAACTAGCTGTTATAAACACCGTGACGGCATTAAGGTGACGTCACTATCGAGGCTACATTCCACGGGCACGAGAACCCTACGAGCTGGCCCTATAAATGCTACTCATCTAGAAATCGCAATAACAGCTGCGAGAACGGCACATGCACTTGGAATTGCTATGAGCCATCAGGGCCAGTCCATAGTTTGGAGCGTGCCACATGATCTTCCGCTTGGGCTAGCCGAGTGACACGTGTAGTGTAAAGTCACGTGACGCGCATGGAATGGTCAGAATGGCTAACATGGCTCATAACATAGTCTCATGTTCGCCAGAAAACTAGTGAAGTATGAAGGGTTTCTCTGAACGCTTAGCGTCACTTGAAAAAGCTAGGGGGTGGTGAGCCAGCAAAGGTCGGTTCACACAGGCGCGTTTTTCTTTGTTACATTACGCTACGACTGCATACGCCGCGAAACACCGAGACATCCAGGCTTCAAATGAAGCGTGCTGACCGGTTCAAGGAGTAGCTTTGCACGCGACATATAAAACACAGATGTTCCGGTGACTCCTCATGTAACGTGGGAAATCGTAAAAAAACGCCTCTGTGTGAACTGACCTTAAGAGTGTCTGAAAAAAGCGTTTGTGCCCGCGCAACAGATGCTACGGTCTATTCCAACCAATCCAGCACTGTGAATGCACCATGTGACCACGCGCCCTGCGGGTAGCCGTAACCCAGAGGTCTCCAAACCTCGACTCGCGGGCCAGATACGAAAACTCCCCAATAGGGAGTTTTCGTAGACCGCGTTTCCCGCTCTGCTAAGCCCTCCGCAATGAAGAAGCCGCCACTGCACCTGCTTTCCGATGGCCTTGACTGTAGAGTTCCGGGTATCATAGCCGGTCGCGCAGAGCATTGCGAGACTGCGAAAACCATCTACGAAAACTCCCTATTGAAGCCCAACCCGCAGCCCGCTTCCAGCAGACCCACTGGTACCGGCACAAAAAAGATGTGCGCCTTATAAAACGTTGCCACGTCGCGCTCCAAATGCGCAAAATGAAGACGCCAGAAAGAACGAGGAAAAACTGCATCGCAACAGGGTTCTCCCGCCGTGAATGACCATTGTCGTCACCAGCATCACCATTCTAGTCCCTGGTCTTATGTATGTGTAACTATGTTAAAGTCCCTTCACCTTCTCATGTAGTGCATTGTGTCAGCATTAGTTTGTTCATTCTCAGTCTTTTGCAGTGCGCAAATGTGCCGAAGTATCCATGCGCTTTCATTTATGCTTGGTAAGTTTTCGTGGTCGCAATTGTTATGCAATGCCAAAATTAGCTAAATATTAAGTTTTATAGTCAAATATATGTTTTCATCCAACCTTGGGTTATTTTAATACATTAACATTCATTTCTGCCTTTATATGCTTAACTATGTTTATTCATTTACGGTATTATTTACTCATTTATAATTCCCTCTCCCTTCCCGGCCCTCAAAAGCGCGGCAGATGCCCAATCTGGCCCCTTAACCGAAAAGTTTGATGTTCCGTGCTGTAACCCAACAAAAGGCGCATAACGTTCACAGGGCATTTGGTCGGCTTAGGTGGCTCGTAGCCTCGTAGGATCCACTCCGGTCCGTCGTCAATTTTGACGGGGTGTTGCATACTTTGTGTATTATCTGCACCAGTTTTAATGTCTCTATCTTCATTTTTTTCTTTTTGTAGCTAGCACGGACAACATCGATTCTGCTACGGCCGAGTACCAATATCGCGAGCTCAATGACCACATGCACCTCGGTATGAGCCTCGTGTCGCAACCTGGACCAGAAGGCCGGGTCGTGGTAAGTAACAGTGTTATGCTTGCTAAAGAAAACAAATTATGAGCCATTCCACTCTGTAAACATGGATCACCAGCGAAGTTGTTTAGCACACGACACAAACGTGACACAGAATTTTGAACAAAGGTACAAACATGCATTGTCTTGATCGGTGGTCATCGTGACGAATAGCACGCACACACATGTTGAGGGTTATCGCCACCCCGAGGAGCCGGAGGAAGCTAGACATTTGCGACGGGACCGCCATAAACATCTAAAATGGACCGTAAAAGTCGGCGCTTGCACGTAGCAACCTAAACTTTCGTCAAAGGTGTATTTCAGTGGTTGGTTTTTTCTTGTAAAATTACAAAGCGTAGCTCTCTTTCTGTAAAAAATAGGGCCAAGAAACTTGCCAGGGTCAACGGCGGGCGGCGACGCAGACAACCGAGTTGAGTTGCGGGGTGTTTGGTGCTCGTATTAATAGGTGGCGCTATCTCTCAACCAAGACTGCTCGCGACCAGTGCGATTTATTAAAATGAACACTATCTTTTTGTAATGTACTTTTGGTTTAAATTTAAAGTCTGACAATAAAATGTGTTGGCATAACGACGGCCTTTTTGCTGTCAACAGATTTCGTCTACATGTCGTCTGCTTTCTTCCGCTGGTTGGCTACACCCACCGTTATTAGATTACCTCAGTTACGGAACTGCGCTCATAAACGCTGCTTGCACGAGCAATCCCTCCCCCCCCCCCACCCTCACTCACCCCGACTCGCCTGCCATCACTCGACGCACCGGACGGCTGCTAACTGCAGTGTATTGTGTGAAATACGTATATCTCCAAGCACAGCGTCTAGATAGCGTTTCAGCTCTGCTATATGGAACACACCACGATGAAACGAAAATCTAGATGGCGCTTCAAACGACGGGAGGCGGACTAAAGTGACTAAGGGGGTGGACCTAAGTATACAGGGGCCTTAGGTGTACCCATAAGCGTAGACTTTGGGGGGGGCAGGGCAGGGCAGGGCAGGCAGGGGCAGGGGTGGGGGCGGGGGTGGGGGCAGGGGCAGGGGCAGGCAGAGCCCCCCCCCCCCCTTTCCTCCCGGGCCCGGGCCATGATCGTTACCGGGACGCTGTTATGTAACGAGCTTCTAGTAGTGGCATGTAAACAAAATGACGCCGATGTTGCCTTTATTGACAACATACACAGGAGTCCCAGCGTGCTTTCGTTAGCTTCAGTCTCCAGTTCTGGCGAAAAGATAACGTGCAGCACCCCCCACGCAGAACTTCTCAGCCTACCCCCCCCCCTTCCCCCCCCCCCACCCCCCAGGGAAAATGGAAAGTCTACGCCGCTGGGTGTACCCCCTTCTGCGCAAGTTCCACAACTGAGGTAATTAGTAATGTTGGCTACACCTTCATGCACTGCTTCCAATGCCATCGATCAACACGTGCGCCAAACACATCCCGCAACTCGAGTTGTGCATCTGCGTCACCGCCCGCCGCTGACCCTGGCTAGTTTCTTTGCCCTATGATTTACAGAAAAAGAGCTACGCTTTCTAATTTTACAAGAAAAACTGACCTGTGAAATACATCTTTGACAAAAAGTTCAGATTGCTACGTGCAGGCGTCGCTTTTTACGGTCCATTTTAGATCGAGCCTGGTGACTTGGGACACCCTCTGATCTCTATGTCTATTAGCTGGATCGCGTTTGACCAGCTCCACCTATGGACGGGAATGCGGGCACGGTCGGCCATCTTTTTGGTAGAGTTATATCATATCTAGCCATGACAGTAATATGGCGGACAGCGCAATAGTGGCAGGCTGCCATAAAATAGCTGTGGATCTAGTACACCGTACCGTGGGTGATATTTCGTGCTTGATTGAAGTTGTTCGACGAAGCAGACACTTGAAACCTGGCGTGAATGGTAGCCTCATTTTTGAGGACCCTGCGAAAGTTCTACAAAAGCCAGCACCGGGGGAAAGCAGCGCAGCTCGCAACGAAAGCAGACTCCGTACCGACGTCTGCTTTCGATGCGACTTTCGATGCGTGCTGTGCTGCTTTTCCCCGGTGCTGCGATTTCGTGAAACTTTCACCAGGTCCTCAAAGGTCGGGCTACCGTTCACGCCGGGTTTCAAAAATATGTTTCGTCAAACAATTTCAATCAAGCACGAAATATCACCCACGCTATTTTGATGGCAGCCTGCCACTACAACTGCCACAACGCTGTCTGCCATGGATGGATGATAGTGGCTGCAGCAGCTGTATCTTGGCTAGAGGTAATATAACTCTACCAAAAATATGGTCGCATTCGCAGAGCGGGCAAACGCGATCCAGCAATTGTCACGAGATCAGTGGGGACACCCTATAGAATATATCAATGTTTATCCCGAGCTCATATGAAAAAAAAAAAAAAAAAAAAGAGTTAGAGGTGAATTTTAGAGTATTTTTATTTCGTGAATCTGTATATCCCGTTCGTTTTCCACGATGATGCCACTAAATGCGAGAAAACTCGAAAAACCTCCGACCAGTCGTTATGTCGTAAAAGGATCTTTGGGTTGTCGAGCTCGCATCACTTGTGTGGGTGCGCGTGCAATTTCGAGCTATCCAGGCATCTTCCCCTGCACTCACACCAGTTGTGACATCTCTTTCTGACGTTATTTGAAAAAAAATAGTACCAGGAATGTGCGTGTATAGCTTTGATAGGCGCTGAAGATGCGCAAAGGCTGAGATTCTGGGAAGGAAGGGCTTCAGCGGTACTTTGAAAATTTTCTGCAGCCCCTGTGTGACAAATTGAAAAATAATCTCCATATTCGTGATAATTTCAGTGTTTTTACTCAAATACAGAGCAACCTCAGCTTCCCTTGAAAAAAAATGTGAGCAAAGTTGCATGCTTGATTGGATTGAGCCACTCTTTTTTAATCAGCAAATATTTATCATGTGAGCTGGCTGTGGTAATATAAATTCTTTGGTGTTGCTTTACAAACTACTGGAATAAATTACTGTGCCATTTCTGCCACCTGTTCCAAAGATGCCTCTCCTGCTTCATTTTATCTAAATACGGACAGTGTGCGCGAGCCCCGTGCTAGGAGCTAATTTCACTTATTTTTGCCGAGACGAAAACTCATCTCATTGTAATGCCGTTATAGTAGGTATGTGTGATGATAAACTAAATGTTCAAACATTTGAATTAGAAAAAAAAGGAAAACTGTATTCGATTCCGACTAAATTTCTGTAGTTTTCTGATATTTTTTTTATTTAACTTTCATTTGCTTCAAAAACGAGCGAACTGGTGACTATTCGTCCTGATAGAGTTTTAGACCGAGGTTCACAAAGTAATTTCTGAAAAGAATTTTCGGATTGTTTCGAGTCTGTTTGGGCAAGAGTTATGCAGCTCCATTGAGTGCGCTTACCGCGCAGCACAGGTACGTTGCGCGAAGCCACATCCGCAGGGCTTCCCACAATGCATAACACGCATACTTTGGGTGCAGAGGTGCTCTAGATACGTGCTGTTTCAGCCAGGTATCATGGACACTCTTTACACTCTCCCTAAATATCTGTGCTAACATATCTCCCTCGTGCGTGACGGTGATGTCTGTTTCGTGAAGTCATGAAATGTTTTTTAAAGGGAACACCTTAATTCCCAAAAATTGTGTTTGTCCTTCCGTCCGTTTGTTTCTCCGCTAAATGTTGCGCGAAAATTGGCGTCGCGTAACCTGACATTGCGTGACCCCGCTAAATTTAACGGGAAAATTCACGTCACGTGACCTATTTGCGTCTCTAGCTCGACGCTCGCCCTCCCGCGTCAAAAACGGGAAGTGGTCTAGTGAGGGTCCCCCGATTCTCCCGCTCAGCGGGCACGGCGGAACTGCTCGCGATCATGGCTCGCGAAATGTCATTTCCCAATGCAAACAACACTCTTCACTGCCCCAATGTAGTGCTGCTGATGGTGTGGGACTGTACCTTACTGGAGAGTTTTAGTATTGCGCATAAAACGTGCATAGAAGCCAACGCAAGTGGTGTGCGTTTGCATTAGAGTGGCGTGCCCCACTTTGTGCATCCGCCTCATCACCATGCGCCAACCAAGACCGCAATTTTGGGCTCCGCGCATGCGCAGTGTGGAACAAGCAAAGCTGATGTGAACACGTAGCGCTTGCGTTCGCTCGTATACGCAATACTAAAACTCGCAACTCTTTCACCGGCTTTCAACGCCAACGAAACGTGCTGCAGTGAGCAGACGCGGAAGCAGGTAGGCGTTCCTTCGAACTGGAAAGGCTGAGATTGGCAAAACGACGGAGCTTAAAAATGAGAGTAGCTAAATGTTATGAAAAAATTGGGAATATATATAAAAAAAGTTCTTTTCTCCTTTTTACTTTTGAGCATATGGTCTGGAAGGATATTTGCGGCGACTTTGGAGGTTTTGTCGATTGTCAAAAGTCGCGACTTTGATGGCAAAATATACTTTACCTACAATTAATGTAATTTTTTGGGGATTTCTCACATTAGCTAGAATGTTTTCATTGATTTTAGAGTATTTTTATTTTATTACTTGGTAATTAAAAATGCTGCAATTGACACCAGTGATGAGAATTAGTACACTTTTGATTGTCATATTTGTTCGCGCAATTGAAATTTGATCACAAGCAACAAATTATATTAAAGCTTAAAAATTACGTAATAAAATATCTGAATTTTAATATTATTATTATTGATACAAATCGCGGCAATGTATGCCCCCAATTAACGCGAAGATCACGAAAATATGCCATTTAACCATAATAGTCTTTCCAGAACGGTATAATTTTTTTTGTTTTTTTTTTAGCATATGAAAATCTCTTGACATCGTTACCAAGATAGACAAACAGTCAAACACTGGACGCAATATAAAGTCCTATGCGTCACGCGTTTCTATAAAAAACACACACACTTCAGCTGTTTGACTCGGATTTCGTCTTTGGGTTGTTTCAGTGAGAACAGCGTTTATTAATTTATACGTTTTGTGAACATATCGTAAAAATTGGATTTATTCTCTTATTCTTGTGTTGGGAATAATGTTAAACCAATAATTCATCTAAATACCCAAAAACCCATTAAAAGGCCCACAGTTCATTATTTTTCGTGGCAATTATCTGAGCGAGAAAAGGTAGCGAGAACGCACAAGTATCAGCGCTGATTTTTTCAACAACTACAAATATCAGCCTGGATCTAACATGTATGTCACAAAATAAAGTTTCCGCAAACAACTTCTCTAACTAAATAATTATGATGTGAGACACATCTTGAGTTGCCAGAAATAATTTGTGTCGCTCAGTGAAGCCAGCACACTATAGGCAGGCCCAGCAGCGGTACGCATCTCCGGCCCTCACCATAACCGCCATTTTGGAAAATGAGTGGCGCCACCTATAGTTAGTTGGAGTCGCGAATACACCAAATCAGTTTCCTCGCTAAATTTAGCGGGAAAGCGGACGTCACGTAATGCGCTAGTTTTCTCGCTAAATTTCATGGCAAAATTGGTATCACGTGGCCTAGTTGCACTGCCGAATTTAGCGGGAAGATGGAGAACTATTTAGGTCATTCTTCATTCTTCGAAAACGATAGAATTTTAGAAAACTGTCTTTTGTACATTATAGGACTCTAAAGAAAGAAAAATAGCTGCCAACTGTTTGTTTTCCGAGGCCATTTGGGGTTAGTTGTCGCCCACTTAAGCCACTTTTTTTGGAGAAACTCACTTGACCAGGCATATATTTTGTTGAGGTAGTCTCGTTTCCAATTTTAGTTTGGATAGAGAGAAAAGCTCTTCCAGAGTAGAATGAAGCATCCTAAAGCATCATCATAAATTACAACTCCATTTCTGTGAATAATGCACACTACATTGTGTCTGCAACTGCTTCCAGAGATATAAAATATGCCGATGTCCGCCGTTACACCACATTTGTTAAAGGTCTCTGCATTTTGTGGCGAACTATATATAGTGTAAATACGTTTTAATAGGTGAAAAAAGTGCAGATATTTATTATAGGATCATTTAAGGGGCCTTCCAGAATGGCTATTGCTTGAAATTATGTCAGTGTCCTTTTGAAGGAAAGCATTCCTAGAAACCTTAGCAAGTCCCCGTCTCTAAGGGATACAGTTTAGGAACCGTGTAATGAATGAATTGTTTGTGTTGCTGTTTTTTGCATGGCACAGCTCCTTTTTGCAATGTTTATTCTGTGTTGTTTTTGTCATGCTCATAATCTTTGGACTTTACAGGGCTGGGCAGTTGATTGATTAACCATCTGATTTATCAATTAGTTCTTCCATAGCCGTCATCTTTTTTTTTTGTTAGTAAGCGGCAAAGGTTAGGCAGAGTTTGTAAAAAGAAGTGTGAATAAAGAATGAGGCCTGCATTGTTTGTTAGCACTTACATTTAATTTTTCCACTCTAAAGCATTTCATATGAATGTCATCAAGAGTGTAAAATATTTTATTTTTAAACTTGTTTGCCTATGTTATTCTTATTTTATCTTATTTTTTGTGAGTGGTAAGGATTGGTAGCCATGTTATTCTTGTTTTATTTATCTTATTTCTTCTGGGTGGTAAGCATGGAGTTCAAAATAGGACTATACACTGTGCGGTTGACAGTAAAAAAAAAAAAGAAAAAAGATTAGCAAGAAATATGTATAATTCTGCGCGTTTTGAGACCTTATGCTCGGAGGTCAACAGAAGCAATTACTCTATTAGTTAATTGACTGAAAAGTAGCAATTAACCAGGTTACAATGTTTAATCAACACTTGGCTAAAAATATTTACCTAGTTTGTACAACACAAACATATTTTATGTTCCTCGTGTTGGCAGGTATGTGCCCCGAAATGGAAGAACCAGAAGTACGCCGAAACTCTATACATGCTGAACGGTGCTTGCTATGTCATGAACAAGAACCTCGATGACATCAAGGTTCTACGTCCACTCATTCGAAAAGGTATGAAGCTCGTTATATGCATTACTTTTGGCCCAGGTTGTTTTTCTTTGGTCATCTGAGTTGTGCCATGGCAGCCATGTGTGCTTACTTCTGTTTTGCCACCTTGGTCCTGCAGCTTTTCAAGTTATAGAACCCGAGACGTACCTCCATGCTCTGGCAGAGGCAGGATTCTCAACACACATTTCTCAGGTATGTCGTTTATTGCAAGCATCTTGGTTCACGCAGTACTGTGTCTTAAGTTTCTTATTTCTTTTTTGGAGTGTGCAAACTCAGATGTTTTTGGAAAAGGTTTAACGAGACGTCTCAAAAGAAGACATCATGTCATCATCTTCCATTCTGATTCCCATTACATGTGGACATAGGGTGGAAGCTCAATTCTTGTATTCTTGTCACATCAGTTTGTTTTGTGATTAAATTTTAATGGCATAGAGACAAAGGTGTGGGTCCAACAAGTAAACTGGTATGTCACATTGTCAACACAGGCTAGTTCCAGCTATGCCATTTATCATGGCATTGCAGTACATGATGCCCTTTGCTGTAGTTAAAATGAAATGTATGTCTTTGTAAAGTGGTGTCCTTAGCATTGTTTGCTTTGGGACATGAATTCATAAGATGAATATTTGTCACTTCCTCTTATTTTCTGGGAAGTCATTGCCCCATAACATGATGTTTTGTTTAATTCAGATGGGAACATGCCATTCAGAACCGCTAACTTAACCCTTTGTCCAGAGTAGCACTTTGCACAACTTGGGGACACAGGAAAAGAATTGAAACATAATAGCATGTATTTGCATGATTGTAGGTTGACACCCCTACTTTTGCAGTTGTCAGTGAACAGCAAAGAACATTTGACTAATTTTATGACAGATTTTGGTCTGGAATTGCATAGGAATGCAACTCTACCCTGATGTTAGTCACATCCAAAACAGAAGAAGGCTAAATTTAATGTACTCTAGCTTTTCAAGTGTACACATGCCACCATTTCTTGCGATTAAATGCTACATGCCCCTGTCCTTTGCCCCGACATTTTAAGAGTGTTTTTTTAGATTTTGTTATCTTGTTTGTTATCTTGTCTACTTTTGCTTGCAGGACAATGAGCTGATTTTAGGTACACCAGGATCGATGGACTGGACAGGCAAGTGATGGATTGCTTAAAGGTGTTTGAAATTAAATTTGACAGAAATGTGAGGTACAAAAGTATGATAACATGAGTCATCAGCATGTCTTCCAATGCTAAAAACTGCAACCTCAATGGGATTTGTGAAAATGTGCTTCTTTGATTCAAAACCTAGTATTCATGCAACATGTTTACACTCTAAAAAAAAAAAAAAAAGATTGCCACAAAAACAATAAAATTTTGCTGTAGCCTTGACCAGGGCAATTTACATCTTCAAAGTCCCAGCCCAGATCATGTTTGTGTGTTGAAACATGTTTAGTGGGTTTGGGAATTTGCTGGGATTGTCGTGGATTGCGGTGCTTGGTTCACCACAAAGTCAGCAGAAGAGCACATTCAGGGGATGTGATCTCAGAGTAGAACTTGTCTAATACTGACATTGACTATGTAAATGCATGACGTGGTTTCATATCTGCAGGAAGCCTGGTAACGTATGGCATACCGTCAGATCCCGAAGGAGAATTGAAACTCAAGGTCATTGGACGGCTCAGCACCTTAAAGGTCCCTCAAATTCAGCAATACATTGGTAAGTTTGTAGTGATTTTATCATTCCAGAACTGGCCTATTTAGTTGAGAAATATGTGAAAAGATATTTTATTATTTTTGTCTGCTGTCTGCTACACAACAACAACAACAACAAAAGATAGAACAGCAGGTCTTTTTGTTTTTGAGATTTGTCCTAGAATAATTTTAGCTTGTCCTTTGAGAAATCTGCCTTTTGCTACGAGTGTTTTTTTTAAAATAAAATTGACCTCTATACAAATGAGGTGAACGATGCCATTGGTTATTGACCCACAGCACATTATTACCATAACAAATCAGCACAGGCCCACACTTTATTTTTTGCAATTTACATTTTGTCATTGAATCAAATTCGTGATAAGCGAAGTCTAAAATTTTCTTGGAACACATATGGAAGTAATAAAGTCAACTAAGAAAATGTTTGGCACTCGTTTTAAGCCATCATAATGTTCCTGAGGCAAATAACCAAAAGAAAGATACTAATATTTCGAGTTTTAATGCTGGTTGAGGCGCATGCTGTCTATTGAAGGCTTAATACAGCGTATGTCAGCTCTTTAGTGGTGCACATAAAGAAACCCAACATGTACACATATTTCGTCCAGGGTACTCGGTGGCGTCGGGGAACTTCTTCGAGAGCATGGGACGCTCCTTTGTTGCTGGTGCACCGAGGGACACTGCAGACTACAGGGGGGCGGTAAGTCTTACCCCCATTTTGAGTCCAATTTTGTTCACCTTTGCGATGCTCGTAACTCAACATCATAGTAGTAAAAACATCATTGACATCAACTCTAATTTCTTTAACTCAACACCTTGAAGGCGAGCTTCAGGGATGTTGCATCTGAATGCTTCCAGCTCAGAAAATAATAAATCGAACTTGAGGGAGGAGCAGGTATGACATATATCTCGTTTTATGATGCATACAATGCGATATGGAAAATAACTTGATGTAAATTGGTTCATCTCGGCCGGGTATTGTACGTTTCTTGGGTTCCTAGAATACCTTTTTTGGAGCATGTTTGGGCATCTGGTGGATATATGGGACATCCACAATGAATCTTGTGAATCTCCTCGCTCTAAAACGAGCCAGAAAAATCGGCACCTGCACAAAAATTCGTCATCTCGATGCACATTTGGAGAAAGTCTGAGCTTTCTGTGCACGAGTGCCGATTTTTCTGGCTCATTTCAGACTGTAGAGACAAGTATGTTTGAACGCATTCTAACAGTGAGTAGAGACAATGGCAGCTATAGCTTCTCTTCTACCCACTAATAATTCCAACCAGAGCTTGGTGTTCTGACATCCCTTGGTGTTCTGACACCGTTGAAATTTTCGCTGTCACTCGAGGATACAGCGACGCCATCATGTCAGTATCGGGAGTTGAACAGCTAGCACAACCTCTTGACACGCATTAAATTTATAGACATTCATTCTTGCTTCATAAAAGTTGATGAAATAGCTATATGAAAGTTTATCGATGAAATATTGATATGAAAGTTTGGTATACAGTTGAATCTCGTTAATTCGAACTCGAAGGGGACCGAAAATTTGTTTGAATAAAGCAAAGTTTGAATTACCGGGAGTTTTCTTCCATAGAGATGCATAGGGCGGGACCTGCATGTTAGTTTGAATTATCCAGAAGTTTGAATTAAGAGGGTTTGAATTAACGAGATTTGACTGTACAACGTTAAAAGACATACTACGCGAAAGACAAACACCGACAGAAGGGACACACCGGTGCTGTGGGGTGTTCTTTCCGTCTGTTTTCATGCTTTCTTCTGTACATCTTTAAATATGAATAGGAAATCTCCCAAGCTTCCATCTTAATAACTATATAACATCTTGCCCACCCTATATATTTTATGTGCAGTGAAACACTTGTTTGTAGAAACTGTTCTTGCCATTTGTTGTACCATTTTTTCTCGTTAAGGTGAATGCCTCACTGTCAGACTGTTGGTAAGCTGTGTAGTTCAGAGGTAGATGTGTAAAATGCATGAAACAAAATTTGGCAAAGTGGGAGCTGTTTGTGCCTCATCTAAACTTTATTTTTCAAGTGATTCCCAAGCGATTCATTGTTTTGAAACTTCCAGGTGTACTTTTTCAAGCCAGAGACTCCCGACTCAAGCAACCTCAATGTGCAACTGAAGAAGGAGGGGGAACAGGCAAGTCCAAGTAACTGCAACCCGTTTACGTATCAGCATCTGTCGCAGCTTGCAACTTGCACACGCCCTATCACTCGGTGCAGTGTCTTTAGATGGTGTGTTTATCATGCTCAAATTTTATGAGCTTAGGTCTTTGGGAAAAAAATGCGAGCCGAAGTAACCTGTTGCTTGTGTGGCCAGGAAGGGAAACAAACCTTCTGGTTCTAACTCACAGAGGGCACAACATGAAACAGAAACCTAAAAAGCCTTTTCGAGATGAGCGTCCGAGAGCAGATCCAGCAGATCCGAGCTTGTGTGCTATTGTATGTGTAAGTAGCTGCATCAAACGGACTGTTTGTTTCCCCTTTTTTTCCTGACCATTATGTTTTTGAAACCTACACCCATGAAACTTGAGCACGACAAATGCACCACCTAAAGACAGTTTTGTGGAAAGTTTCGTGGAACTCCATTCATTGGCCTACTTATATAAGTCTTCTTTATGCCCAAATAGCGCTTGGAAACACCCTGTAAATGTAAGTAAGTCGCAGAGAAGGACCGTTTGGCCCTGTGTACTTAACTGACTTTAGTGATATTTGTCTAGGTACTTTAGAATGTTATGGCTAAATCGTTGCTTGGGAAGGCTGGGCAACTGGGACAACAAAGCATGGTGTAATATAGATCTTAACTGGGTATAAAAAGTTGCTGTGAATCTGTGGACTTAACACAGCACCAATGGGGGTGGTGGATGAGAGAAAGTGATTCCTTTTTCAGGTGGCTTGGGTGTTAACAAAAAAAATGAGAGACGTTTAAAAATCTCTGTAACGTGAAATTACAGTGCAGCTCTTGAGGTATTTTCATTTTGCGATATACCATGCTAAAAATTTTGAGAAAGAAACATGTATATGTACAAATATTGATCATTCTCCTGACATACTGGTCCTGCACCCTCCTCCTCTTCCGTGTCCTCTTCCTGCTTCGTACCCTCCTCCTCTGTATCCTCCCCTCCTCCTCCTCCTCTGTACCCTCCCCTGCTTCTCCTCCCTACTTTCCCCTCGTCCTCCTCCATACCCTCACCTCCTTTTCTTCCATACCCTCCTTTCCTCCCACAGTTACCCCGCTAAATTTTGCTGTAAAATCGATGCCACATGATCTCAACTTGATTTCATGTCACGTCACTTATGAACAAATTGAGTTTCTGCGCTTAGCGAGAAAATTGACATCACGTGACCTCAACACCAATTCAATTCCCTGCTAAATTTAGCGGAGAAACTGAGTTGGAGTTGAAAACATGTGACGTTTTACCGGCAAACAGAGTTTTACCGGTAAATTTAGGGGGGAAACTGAATGCACAGTATTGCATTATGGGACATCACACCAATTTAATTTCTTCACTAAATTTAGCAGGGGAATTGAATTGTTGTATAGGTCAGTGATGTCCCATAACGCAACGCGCGCGGTTACGCTGACGATGACAGCGACGCCACTATACGCGGAAATGAGCGCCTAATGGTGAATTCCACTCATAGATCCGGAGTGCTCTCCAAAATCCGTGAGGGAGGTGAAATTCCGCTTCATGGAAACCGCTCCGAATTGACGAGGGGAAGATAAACTTGCATTTTTGGATCGACCCCCCCCCCCCACACCCCTCCCCCCCCGCTTCCCCCTTCCACCATTCAAAATGGTCGCTGCTCGAACTTGACAAGCCCACCAACGCCTCAGCCAACTCATCTTTCCGACGACCAGTGACAACTGCTACTGCCTGGCAGTGGTTGCAGAAATAACATGCGACACATAACACGCGACACAGGCCGGGCACAATTATACATACCACGGCACCCATGTCACAAATAACGAAGACGTTTTGTGTTCGGCACCGTCGCATACCTTTCGGCTGTCTCGAAGCGGTGGGGCACGGACAGCGATTGCCATCGGTGGAGTTCAGATTTCTGGTACGACTTTAATAAACACAGATGTAACGAACCATCACTTGCACGGTCGTTGCCTAATCTCTTCTTACTTTATTACACGGGAAAACGCCGGCGGAATGCAGTGCAAAAAGGTAAACAATCATTGGCTGCAGAATGTACAGGCCTAACCTTGCGTCTGCCTCCGGCTTTTCTGTCGTTCTTCGTCTCACGATCACAGATGTCAGCACTTACGATTTACCACCCTCCACAGTCCCGGTTTTGTATCCCTGATCTACGCGAGGCAGAAGCGTTCGATCTGTCACAATCCCACGTCAACAACCGATGCACCCGAATAGATCCAACTTGACGATATCAACCGTGGCCCGACCAGCCCGCCGACCTTGCCAACCTCGCCGTGCATGCGCACTGCCGATTTAGGAGGAAACGACGTAGGGTACTCTGTCAACTTCCGGAAAGATCTGTGAAATCCCACAGAGCAAGTTCGGCGGGGTTTGAGGCGCTCCGTGGAGCACGGCAATGCTAGAGACCTACGAGCGGAAGATGACCAACTCGAGCCAGATCTGCCAGCGGAATATACGCTCTAAATGGAGCGCTTTTGGAGCACTCGAGATCTGCGAGCAGAATTCACCATAAGAGCTGCACTCTGAAAGACATTTGTATAGTGCAAATGGAAAACTTAACCAGACGACAGAGAATAGGATTACAAATGGACCTGCATCGTGGCGTTGAGTTTGATAGTAATACATTATTCATTAAGTCATTAACATTTAATGAGTTACTTATTAATTTGTGGTTGTCTCCTTCCAGATGGGCTCCTACTTTGGCGCGTCCGTGTTGGCCATTGATCTGAACATGGACAACTTCACTGATCTCCTTGTGGGTGCACCCCTCTATTCCCTCCAAGGAACAAATGGCGATGAAGGGAAGGTCTATGTCTACCTCAGCAACGGTGCTGTGAGTATCGTACGGCAGCGCTTCTCTGCAGGTTCTTGCTGTTTTGCTTGGCCAGACCACTCTTTATTTGCAAGGTCGCGGCCAAGTTCCCAGCTCAGCCTTCATTATTTGAGTCATTCTTTTCGTTGCTATCGCGATTATATCTTGGGCATCGGTTTAGCAAAGATGCTTTCATCGAAGTACAGCGTACCATTTTGCAGTTGGTCAGTTCTATTGCAGTTGTATTACAGTTGTATTAGAGTGTAGGGCTTAGGAAGACCATAGTGATGCAATGTGCATGCACAAGGTCACCAGTTTTGTGGATTTTCTAAGTTGATTAATAGAGGTGCGGCAGGTATAAGCCCCTTGTAGGAAAGGTTGAGTTCAAACTTATTAAAGTGGCACGAGCATTTGTGCTAGTTAGAAATATAGCTGGTCTAAAACATTGCCTTGCTGGTTCTTCTGTTGCCCCCTTCCTGGTCTTAGAGCCAGTGATCGGTGTTTGGTTGAGCATCTACTTACTCGGCCAGGAAGGCAAATTTGTCAGGCCTGAATTCACGCTGGTTTACTAAGGCCTGAATTCATGAGAGTTACAGCCATGTCTCTGTTAATAAGCAAAACCTGCTATACAGAATACATTTTCGGGGACGAACTGGGTAAATATGTAAATTTTTTCGTCTCATTATTATGGACAACTCACATTATTGACAATTTTTTGGAGGGCAGAGCTCAAACTTCAGGAAGCCACAAATTTTGTTTGAATTATCCAAAGTTTGAATTATCATAAATTCATCCATGATGCAAGATAAAATTATGATTTGCCATATGAAATGGCTACACATACAAAGCAAATATTTGATGATTTCCTCTATATAGGTCTACATTCTGGTCATAAGCAAGTATGCCACACGTGAAACATTTGTAAAATGTATGACATAAGGTTATTTATATCCAAAAATGCTTTTTTCGTGGATTCTTTAGAAAGCACATGACAACTGAAAACAAAATTAAGTTTTTTCATAGGCCGAGAAGTTGTCTAGGGGACACCTGAGCGATGAAAACGGCCACCGCGCAGCAGTTTTCATAGCAACTTGCATAAACGGTTTAACGTGGACCTATGTCATGCCACCAGGTCACATCGTCCGCTGAGGTTACTGTGGAAATTTCCGCGTGGTGCCCGTTTTCATAACTCATGTGTGCCCTGCTTGAGCCCCGCTGAGTGCGCTTCTCACCGATCACAGGTGCACTGCGCAGAAGCAACACCGGCGGGAGCAAGCTCCGCGACTGTTTCTTCTCTGCACCGCACTGGTGCTCGGAAAGAAGCGCACTAAACGGGGCCGCGGGAACAAAACGCATGAATTACACGAGAACACCTTTCGAATTTAGCGGCTTATGAATACAATAGAAACATAGCGGAACAACCAAAATTTTGAAACTTGTTTTAATTACCCAGAAGTATGAAATATCCGAGTTTGAATTATCGCGAGCCTACTGTAGTTCTTTTCCAACACGTACTGAATGAAATGCGTAGCTAAGGCTCTTTTGAGAAAATGGGATTCTGTAGCACATGGGAAGAACTACAGAAGTAGCATTAATTACTATGCCGTGGTTCTTTCTATTCTTTTCATCAGTTTTTTTATTTCTCTGCTTTTTCTTTTCGGTATTTTATTCTCAATTAATTTTTGTACTTTGCTGATTGCTTGTAGCAGTGTGCTTTCCAAATATGAGGAACAGTGATAAGTGTGACATGTTCTTACAGAGCCTACAGTTGCAAGATCTCAAAATCATGGGCTCTTCTGTTCCTGGGGCCCGATTTGGATCTACCATTGTCAATATCGGAGATCTTAACCTTGATGGCTATCCAGGTACTACCACTGCTATTGGTTTTTGGACAGTTTATCAATTATATGACCTATATTTAAAATCGGATCATCAAGCATCACTTTTGCACAGATAAAGAGCTTCTCTTTATTTAAAGGAATGCATGAAGACAGTATGATGCCATAGACTATAAGAGCATGCATAGCTCTGTTCTGTAGCTTTTAAATAAGTGACGTTTTGATGAACATGACAGGCAAATATAGGCACATAATATTGTGCTCTAAAATAGGCTTATTTAATGCACTTTAACTATGGGGGTGCTATGAACCTATCAGGGAATATTTTGATGGTGCCAGTCAAAATATTGGGTCATTAATTTTGAGTTCCTAATAAAAGAACTGCGAAGCTGTACTCCTAAACTGAGAAAGATTGAACTGAATAAGTTGAAAAATTTCTTGAATACTGTATAGAATCGTGCAAGCCCTCAGGTTTGTTTTTTGTATGGTATTCTGTTAAGCTTTGTATGTAGAGTCAAATGCGAAAATTGTGTGCAAAGTCTAATCAGCACAGTGACTTTTTGTATTATGCTGTTACTTTTCAGATGTCGCTATTGGCTCACCGTATGAGCACGGCTATGGTGCTGTGTACATTTACAATGGCGGAAAGGATGGCCTGAAGACTACACCTGCACAGGTAAAGTGTTTGCACATGTTTTAATACTATTATAATGGGTGTTAGCAGGTGGCAGTATTTCCCTATCATTACAACATTTCGTCATCATAAAAAGGGAGAGCTTACAATCATAAAATGGCGTTAGTATTATATATGCTTTTACCATCACCACATTTTACTAACGCCATCGGGTCTTCTGAGGGTGTTCACACTACCATTAATGATGAGTGTTAGACATTACTTTTATATTTTGTTCTAAAGCTTGCTACCCCCATACAGATCATAGAAGGCAGATCAACTGAAGGCAGTCCACATGGTTTCGGTATTAGCATTTCTAAGGCAATGGACATTGATGGCAACAATTATCCTGGTAAGTTGACATTGCTTACGTAACACAATTCCTCAGAGTTCCAGTTAGACTTGCTACGTATTTGTTGTGTTTTACAAAGCAATCTCGGGAAGAGTGTAGGGTTGGAGACTGAGGATATTCTGCACTATGCCTTCAACAAAATGTTGGTTGCCACTCTGGGACCTTTCTGGAGACTGTATCTCGAGTAGGCTTTCCAGGCTTTTACAATTTTATGCATTTTCACTTGCAAGCTTTTTTGTTCATACGTAAAATATAAACGGGTGTAGAAGTTTTCAATATAAATAAATAATTAATATATTTAGTACATAAAAATCGACTTCGGATACTGAATTGCACACTAAATATGCGTAGAATGTATGTATAGTGTCTAGTCTCAGTAATTTATGTAGGTTCCAAGTTTCTATTATTTAAACAACATTCATGATGGTAATCTGTGCATATCCCAAACCACTGTGAGAACACTCATGCAATAAGCCACAAGGTGCCTTTGAATAGTTATACAAAGTATCCAGTGACATGAGAAAGTACCACCCTAGAAGGGTAACCAAGATAGCAGGTATTGTTTGATTTTTTGCCAGCATGTTTTCACCTACAGTGACTAACAGGATTGTGACAAAAAGGTTTAATTATTAAGGTGTTATAGATGATACAGCACATACTTACCCGTGCACTTATGTGCCAGTGCTAGCACAAAGTATACTTACAGAAGCTGTAGAGCAAAATGGCTTCTAGCACCACAGAAACAATATCCCCTAGCTGAATGCAGTTTGAATACCAAAAGTACTTTGTATATCTATCATAGATATTAAATATTTGTATACCTCTACCCATATTCATTTAAATATTCAATATCTTTCGCAGATATTGTTGTGGGTGCCTACCAGTCGGACCAAGCTTATCTATTCAGGTATGTGTTCGTGCTCTTTGAGTTTCTCCTTGTGTCTAATAATGATACCTGCAAAAGGGATAAGACTGTGAAGCTGTCGCTTTACTGTTTTCAATAGTTACCCCTTAGGTGTTTTTCTTTTTTTTTTCACATTATTTATTTTAATTTTAATTTTTCAGCCTTTTCTTTTTTTTGTATTATGACACTTCATCTGTTCTTTTATGGCCTTGAAATTCCCTGGGAGGCTTTTACCTGGGTTGAAAGTGTCCCATGTCTGTACCACTCTAAGCAAAGATATATGGAGCACTGTATTGCATCAGTACGGTAGCAGTGTTAACAAAGTTGAATAAACTTCTTGTATTGTTCTTTGATGTTTAGTGGCACAATTAGGAGCAATCAGTAACATTTTCACAAATGACAGCTTTATGTAAGCTTCTAGTATAATTTCTCTATTTAGTCATTCAGCAGGACCATTAGCAGTCTGAAATTTAGTATGCAATTTAGCTTTAAGATAAGTCGTCAATTTGTGACCAGTCATTAGGGCTGACTTGCAGCTAGGAATGCTTTATTATACTCCCGTTTTGCGGATGTATCACAGATGCAGTAAGGAACACGAGGAAGAAGCTAAGAAATTGATTGTTAGCCGGGCAGAAAGCTATCTTGTCGATGTGAGCGTGTATCTAGCGTAGTCACGTGCCTTCGGTATGAGGGACACTGTGTGCCTTTGACAGTGAAAGATACAGGTGAAGGACCTGTACGTATGCTCAGTGGCGTAGTCAGAAAATATTTTCGGGGGGTGTTTCAAGGTGCTGGTGCAACTACACACACGCGCGCACACGCACATACAATATATATATATATATATATATCTTTTTTTTTTTGTGTGTTAAGTGCACTGAAGTAGTGCACTAAAGTTACTACTCGTGGAGCAGGTACAAGGCTAGCGGTTGCTGTAAGGTGCCCGCGCAATTTTTCCGTCTCTTATCGAACCCCTGCCTCGTACCTGCTCCACGAGTGGTAACTTCAGCGCACTACTACGCTTCTCACGCGCTCAAAATCTTTCCTAAAATTACTGAATTAGTGGTTTTCGATGGCTCTCAGCAAGTCCTTAATTGGAACTATATGTATATTTTCATTAATTAAAATGTTAATTAACGAATTTTAACTAATTAGCCGACTGATCGTTACGATATATATACTACGTCCCCCTGGTCGTATAATTCACCCGCGTAGACTGCATTAATCTAGTTTTCATGTTTTTTTTTGTTTTTTTTTTTAAATTCTGTTAAGCTTAAAAATAACACCCTGTATATACCTATATATATATATATAATATAGAGTAAACATTTGGGGGGTGTTCTGACACCTGAGCACCCCCTCCGGCTACGTGCCTGCGCATGCCTGTATTCCTTTAACAGTTAAAGGAAATGAGGAATATAATTTCTGCCAGGTGGAAAGCTGTTCTATGGACATGGCATATCTGCATGTCTGCCTTTCATTTCTAGAGCCATGCCCGTGGTTCAGGCCAGGTCTTGGATCGAGATTGACACCAAGCATGTCTCCTCCAACAAGCCCAACTGCGTTCGGAACAATGTGGCCTTTTTCTGCTTCCCCGTGACGCCGTGCTTACAGTATGACGGAAAGTATGTGCCAGAACAGATAGGTGAGTCTGCCCGACAAACTTTTTTTCTTAATTATTGCAAAAATAAACGGAACAGCCCAGTCAAAAACAAAAGTGTTGTATTACAGTTTGTGCTCGATTTCACAAGTTGTGGAGAGCACTAGCTAAGATGCAAGAGCATAGCTCTTCAAGATGCCCTCTTTTCTTGAGCACACATACAAGAAAAGTTTTTTCTAGTCACATGCTGACACCTGTGCCTCACACCATATTGCACAGAAGCTTTGAGATAAAGTGTACAAGCTCCCTTAAATTGCCTTCAGCATTCTGAAATATATATATTTTTTTTTTCATTGTCCCAAATGATTGAGTTATTCCTTACTGATCACCTTGAGCTCCCACCCATACCCACACTTTTAGAGCAGGGCCAAGTGATGAGAAGGAGATGTTTGTTTGGGCTGGAGAGCGCATAGCTCTCAGCTTAGGGATAGAGCACTGCACGGGCAGGGGCCAACTTGAACACCTGGGCCTGGCTCGACCCATGGGCCGGGCCGGGTAGCACGCATTGCTGCCGGGCGCAGGCCAAGCTTAGGCTCGAAACATGCTTCATCTCCTGCTGTCGAGACACCTTCAGCCATTCTGGGCCAGATCAGGTAGGCATGCCATTGGGCCTGGCCAGTGCAGTGTTCTACTTAGGGGTGAACGAAGTGCTATAGCAGTTGCACTTGAAAACAATGAAAGATGCAATTAATATTGGTACTCTTAACCCCAAAAGCACATCCTGCAGATGGCCCATAGACAACATAACCTCTTACGGGCTTAAGCTGAGCAAGTTTGTTCATTGCTTGTGAATGGGGCCAGCTGAACATGAAAAACACACCGAGAAGAAAATATTTTTTTCTCTGTGTGTCTTTTTATGTTCAGCTGGCCCCATTCACAGACATAACCTCTCCTGAATGTCCTACGAATGTAACCACGTGTAGTCTGGGAAAGATTGCCATTTCCTGGAGAAGAAAATGCTCCATTGTAACAGGCTTTTTTAGTTGAAACTGAGTGCTTTTAAAGCAATAGCTTTATGTGCGAACCCTCCTGAAGCCTTTCTTGCTTGTGTTTGTCTGACCGCATGGCGTTGCAATGTCACGTAACATCAATACTTCTGCTAAACTTAGCGGAGAAATTTACATCAGAGTTTTAAGTCGCTGTGTGATGTGACATCAGGACGCAACATCACGGTGTCGTGTGACCCGACATGACTTGACGTTAGGTCATGTAACATCAGTTTTAGAGGCGAAGCTTCTTAGCCTTTTCCGGCATCCGTGCTCACACCGATTGCACTGCCTCCGGGATCGGCCCACTTTAAAAAATAGAAACATACGCCCGCACGGGGGTTCGAACTCAGGACCGCTTCCTTACAAGGCAGACATCTTAACCACTACGCTACACTCCAACGTTGCATGCAGCCGCTCAACGTCTATACAGGAGAGTGCGCTGCGGTCAAATACGTATATAATCGCGTTAAACCTTGCATGCATTGGCTCAACGCTTATACACGAGAGGGCGCTGTGGTCAAATGCTCAACTGCATATATAACCACGATCTATACCACACATTTTCTTTCTGACATGGACCGTTGACTTAAGCGGTGGAGATGCGTTCCCATGGCTTCTAGCGAATCCAAGCTGATCCGCTAGAAGAACCACTGGCTCTGCATTTCACCGACCATAAAGCAGTAATAATGAAGTCGAAACGCAACCCGGAACTCAGCACTACCTATGAACAATAAAATCAGTATCATCAGCACCACCAGAGCTTCGCCCCAATCAACATCATTCACCACGTGGAGATGCGTCCATTTTTTTTTTCCATTAAGTTTAGTGGGGAAATTGTCACGGCATCACGTGACATCAGAGTGTCGCATGATGCAACGACACAATTTCTCACTAAATTGAGCAGGGGAATATCTCCACCAAATTCTGACAGAGTGCTGCTCGATAAGATCCTCGGGAAGTCCCGATCACAATTTCGTTGCGTTTGACGACATGTCTAAGCTGGGCGGTTTCTCTATGCAGATTTTGAATTCACCATTGAGATGGACACCAAGAAGCAGGAAGCCCATCGGGGTGCATTCGAGCTGCTCGGTGGCAGAACGGGGATCAGCATTCGGGAGGTGCGGCCCCTGCAGCGGGGCCGGGCCATGTGCTTTCCCCAAAAGGCTCTCGTCTTTGTGAGTTTTGAAACACCTTCTGTTCTTGCGCAGCCGTCATTTTTGACTGCCGTGTTCCCTGCTGTATATGTCATGTTTTTTTTACACGGAACGCGTTTTAAAGGCCGACAACCAGACATGAGACCTTCTGCAACTGTGCTAATTAGTGGGCTGGCACAAACAGGGGCGGATGCAGGAATTTCCTGAGGGGGGGGTCAGGTGTTGGTCAGTGTACCATATGTTTAGGAATCCCCTCCCCCTCTCCCTCGTTTCACGCCCTAAATTTTACACATGCAGAAATCAAGAGGGGGGGTCAGGACATCCGGACCCCCCTTTAAAAACGCCCCTGGGCACAAAGCTAGCTGGTTTTATTTCTACTGCAGTGGTATCTCCGAACTATCGGATGCAGACGCCAAATGCCAGACGTTTGTGGTTCGGCATTTGTGTTAAACAAGAAATCCAAGATGTGTCCACCATCACATGAACAAAAAAACAGGGTGTGGAACAAAGCAAAAAAAAAAAAAAAAAGAATTGCAACATTTATTACGAACCTTGAAAAAATACCGTGGAAAAAGATTCTGTGTACACTGACTTTTTTTCCTAAAAGCAAGATAAATCAAGCGTCTTTTTTTTATGTTCTTCAAAAATTTATGCTTATGGTTTTTTTTTTGGAATGTTCAGACTTATGTATGCATATGTGTGTTTGTTTCTATAAGTATGAACCCTAACTGCACAAATATGCCTTGGGAGCGACTGTCAAGACCGGTTATAACGAAGTTGGTTATAACGAAATAGCAGCTACAGAGAAGCGGTAACCATTTCCCACGTCCTTTTGCACTTCGTTATAACCGAAGTCGGTTATAACGAAATAGCGGATATAGCGAATTGATTTCCGATTCCCGTTAACTTCGTTGTAACCGGTCTCGACAGTATATTTCTCGTTTGACTCGTTGCTGACAACATTGAAATTTGCTCCCGCTTGCGCATATATCACAATCACAGTACACGTGTGCAAGCTTATCAATTCAGTTTTGCTGTGCCAGTTGTACGAATAAATAAGTGCGACCAATACAATGGTGCGACCAATGCAGAGGTGCGACTTAACATTTTTTTTTGTTGAGGTGGCCATTTGTAGGGGGGTGCAACTTATACAGTGGTGCAACCTGTAGATGGGAAACTATGATACCTTGGAGACTACCCTTGCAACATTTATTCTCAACTTTTTTTTTTTTTGAGTTGTCCGGAAAGTTGCGTTTGTGCCTACCGTGAATTTTTTTGTCGTCTGATATTAGTACAAAAGCGGTTTCTTTGTTGTCCGCTTCAACGGGAAGGAAGGAGTGGAGAAAAGAAAAGGTGTTCTGCCTTGCTAAAGAAGCTCTTGCAGGTTGACCTCCAATGTTTGGGTTTTCAAACTGACTTTTTAAGTGTATAAGCAGGGTTTGCTTGAGCAGCCAAATTTTCTGAAGAATACTTCCAAGAAATTACTGAGAGACATATACTCCTAGTTTACAGGCACAATCTAGGCAAAAATTAGCAAAAATTAGCATGAGCTAAACATTTCAAACTTGTCGCATAGTGTGTATATTTTTGACGACAAACTTCCTAAGTTTCTGGGCTGTTTTATCGACAGATTTCCGAGAGAGGAGTTCCTTGGCTTCTGCTCGCAGTAACTAGGAGTTTTTCGATATCAAAGACATGGAGGACCCCTGTGCTCGTCTATTAAACCTTAAACTGTTCACCGAAAAAATTGTTTTCTTCGTAATTACATCTTCTACGTTTGACTCCTCTGAATTCTCTATTGATGAGGTTCGGATCTGAAATAGTAAGGCACTCTTTTTGCACAGCTTGGAGCATGTCCGAGGTCGTTTTTTTAAATCTCTCGTACTGTGCTCCGTTTCATCTGAAGCCCAAGCTGGGTCAAAAGCTAGTTGCAACGAAAGCACAAACACATTATTGTGCTTGATTGTGTCAGTTGGCAGTAATGCATGCAAGAAACACAAAAAATGAGCTAATCTAGCGCTTTCCAAGGAGCTTGATTGGCCCTATTGGCTCGTAGCATGGGTAGCGCTAAGATTTAAGGTGTACCGGAGTATAATACTACTGTGGGCCGACTTTTTGAACAACAAGAACCAGGAGTAGCTCATCCCATGTTTGGAAATAGGGGTGGCTTGAATACCAATCTTCTAAGAATTCACAGTTGAGGCTGGTTGGCTGACATAAACATCCTCCACTTTTATCCGCACACCAAAAGAGCAACGTCCAGGACCTGCTGACGCCTTTCGAGTTCCGTCTGACGTTCAACATCAGCGACGGCGACAAGACTCGTCGCGATGGCTTCTGCAGCACGTGCCCGGTCCTGGATGCGAGTACAATAACCACTGTCACAAACAGAGTAAGTCCCTTGTCATTTTCGTGACGAGCTTGTTTGTTTACGAGTCATTGCTGACTCTTCGTGATACTGCTGCAAGCTATGTGTCAGTAATTATTGTCGCTCTCTGCTTTGCAGACTGTTTTCCAGGTTGCATGTGGGCCTGACAACGTGTGCTGGGCCGATCTCATTCTCAAGGCCAGCATAGTGGGTCATGAGTGAGTTAATGCTGCTTGTTGGCATGTGCCTCTCTCGTGAACATTCTTGTATGTTTTGTTTAGTTTTGTTTTAGTTTTTATATATTACTACAGAGAAGTTCTTGTTTGCACTTTGTGCGAAATATTTGACAAAAAGTTCTGGGGGTGTGTCTTGAGTCGTTATACCGAACCTTAGAAACCAGATGATCTGGAAGGAGGTCCATATTTTGTTTTGAGATGGCAAAGGAAAAAGTAGGTGCAACCAATTGGCCGCTAATTAGTATTTCTTTTATTTAGAAAGTAAAATTAATGTGTGCTATGAAGTAGGATAAATATTTGTGCTCCCTCAGTTTATTGAGCTGCATCAGCCGGTTTCTTGAGCCTACAAGCCATAATTTATTTCTAAAACTGATATGTGGTTCAAGCACATTTTTGAGTTCTAGTGATTGCAATCGCACGTGTCCGAAATCAACAATAAAAAATGCTATTTCCTTCTGGCTGGGTGACCAGCTGAGATTTTCTTGCTGTGCTAAGAAAACAGTGTCTTGAGCTACTGAGTTATTTTTTGTCACAAGCACTATGAGATGCAGGGACACCAATCATTCTTGCTTTTCTTCTTTATCATTTTTGTGTCAAAAGGAAATGCCCCAGCAGCCCTCAGCACTAGGCTTTGGTTCTGACAAAAATGACTCCTCTTCGTTGAGAAAGAACGAGTGTTGTTCTTAACCCATCGCACACGATTGTGCTTACCATATTTTAGAAATATTACCCAACCACCCAAATTAGATCTTCATACAAAAATACAGTTCCCTCAATGAAGCACATAAATTACGAAAACGAAAGAGGGGCATAGAATACAATACATACCACACAACGACAGTATGGACGACACGTGTATTTCATACTGTCGTCGTGTCGTCTGTATTGTTTTGTCTGTCCCTCTTTCGTTTTCGTAATTCAGTTCTACGCTTCATCATTGAGTCTACTGTAATTTTGTAGAAATATTCAAGTTAGGGGGGTTAGATTCAGACTCCAGCAAACTCAATTATCCACCTTACTGATTTAAGCAACCCAGATCTAATGGCCCGTGGCAACAAGCAAATTGTGCGAGGTCTAGAATTTTTGCCGACACTAGCCTTGTTCCCAGCCACCATATTCAAGAGGACGATGGACTAGACCTTGTCTGTCCCCCAGTAGCTGTGGTTTTTGTATGGAATGTGAATATAAAACTAATTGATTGTTTAATTACCCATCCCAAAGGGATAGCTCACCCCTCGTCGTCGGGAAGGACAACGTCGTGTCACTGGCCATCAACGTCAAAAATCGCGATGACACAGAGCCAGCGTACCTGTCGCGGGTGGAAATCAGCCTCCCCGAGAACGTCGACTTTGTCAACATTGGGACCTGCGAGTCCAAGGGAAACGCAACAGTCTCTTGTGACGTCGGTAACCCTCTCAACCCTGGATCCGTGGTATGCATAACCCTCAGGGTTCAGTGAGCGCAATCAGAATTATAAATTTCTATGCCCTTGTGCTTGGCTTGCCTTGACCCTATGGATGAAGTCTGCATGTATGGAATGTGATATGGTTTCGCTCGGTGTACATACGCTCTTGTCTCTCGCGGCTCTTTCGAGTCTTTCCATGATATGAAATCACATGATACGGTCTTGCGATATATATTCACGTGGTCGCCTGTGGGCTTCTCCACTCTGCCACGTTTTTTTAAAAATCTTTTTCATTGTGTCAAATTGTATGATGTGGTCAGGCGATAAGGTGAAGCAGGTATAATACACACTTGCCACCCCTTGGTGTATTTACACCAGTGGGTGGCAATTTGTTATTTTTTATGAACCTTCCCTTGGCAGAGTGCAGAGCTACATGCTCAGAGTCTTGGAGTTTCTGGGTTCGAGTCCCGTTGAAGGACATTCAAGATTTTATTTGTTTCTTTTAGGGGAAAAGCTCCTTAGGGTCTAGCCCTGTCCATCCATCCGTCTGGCGTCCGTGCTCACATCGATTGCACTGCCTCCGGGATCGGCCCACTTAAAAAAAAAAAAACTTACGCCCGCACGGGAGTTTAAACTCAGGATCGCCTGCTTCTGAGGCAGACGTCTTAACCGCTACGCTACACTCCAACGTTGCATGTAGCCGCTCAACGTCTATACAGGAGAGGGCACTGCAGTCATATGCGTATATAATTGCTTTAAACTTTGCATGCATTGGTTCAACGTTTATAGACGAGAGGGCGCTGCGGTCAAATGCTCAACTGCGTATATAACCACAATCCATGCCACACATTCTTTTTCTGACATGGACCGTTGACTTAGGCGGTGGAGATGCGTTCCCATGGCTTCTAGCACATCCAAGGTGATCCGCTAGAAGAACCACTGGCTCTGCATTTCACCGACTATAAAGCAGTAATAATGAAGTCGAAACGCAACCCGGAACTCAGCACAACCTATGAGTAATAAAAAAAATAAGCACCATCAGCACTACCTATGAACAATAAAATCAGTATCATCAGCACAACCAGAGCTTCGCCCCAATCAACATCATTCACCACGTGGAGATGCGGCCTGTTTTTTAATTACATGTTCATTTGGATGGACTTATCTGGAATTTGGGTTACGCATTTCATGGCGTTTTTTTGTTTTTTTTTTAGGCGGTTTTACGTGGCATTTAATTACACTCTCTTCTCTGGAGATCCCAGCTCTGAGATGCACGCTGTGTTTAACGAAACTTTTCTTTTTTGTCCTTTGTTTATAGTATTTCCCTCACACTTTTTGCAGGCCTCGGTCTCTATAAAACTAGGTCTGACGAAAATCAAAAAGAAGTTGGAGATTCACGTGGCTGCGAGAACGGACAGCGTGGACACAGACACGTCGAACAACGACATTACGATCGCCTTGCCAGTCATCTACCATGCGGATATTGGGCTGCAGGGGTAATTGGATCTAACTTTCCTTTGTGCATGCACACGCTAAGGGGATGTGGGCTCTGCTATAGCATATGAAAACAAAAGGTAATTGTAGCGCATTTGAGTGCGCAGTTACGCTGACTTCATCATGCGTGTTTCAGTATTCCATCTGGACTAGACAGGAACTGGTTTGTAAAGAAAATATCTTATTTAATTCTTACTGAAGCTAACTAAAAAGATGTAGGGCTGCTTCCTTTGTAATTTTTTTACTTTGTCAGCATTAAACAGGATCTAGTTCATAAAGGAAAGATCTTTGAGTGTTGTTAATCTGAGTTGCATGATTGATTTATTTTCAGATCTTCATCTATCGGTCAGTTAATTTACAACGAGTCGACTGGCATTGTTCAAGTTGTGCACACATTCACGGTATGTTGTCAAGGTAGTTCAGCAGTGTTAATTAAAAACAATTAAAAGTCTGATGAAGTGCTTACATAGCTTAAACTTGTAGTTATTATATTTTTATCGGTAGTCCTGTATTTACAGTCGCCGACCGATTTTTTTGTACGCTGATATTTCGGACACATTTAATTATTTGGACGTTTTTGTTGAACTGTCACTCACCCTATAAAGTTAATGTATAATATTGACCGAAATTTTGGATGCCATAAAGCTTATTGCTCAATATTTCGGACATAATTTGCGTGATTTCCTCATTTTGCAGCCGCAAAACAGCCGCCATGATAGCGCCGCGAGCTTAGTCGCCACCATATCGGTTGTTTTGATTTTGCCCTGTAGCCTCGATACCACGTCCTACACAATAAACAAGCTGGGTTGAGGATATAGTCGGGTCTTCTGGTTCTCCTACAGCCAACATGGCCACTGTCTACCCATTCTTATGGCTCTTTCAGTTCTTCTCGTGGTCCGTGTTCTTTGAGTGCGACCACGAAAGAAGCAGCCGTCTGCGGTTCTTGTGGTCTTTGAGTGCGAAGGTTTTTGCTGATAGGCTTAGCATTGAAGCGAGCTTGGTGGACTAAACGTTGTCTACAAATAGTGCCAAATGGCGCCAACTTCAACTTCGCTCTTTGTGCCAATGAAGGCACCAACAAAGCGCGGTACCATGATGGAACAGATCAATGAACAAGTGAAAAGTGAACAGTATAAAGCGGAAGTTGCACGAGAACTTAAAATTGACATCAAGCAAGTGGAAAGTAGTCAATATGCAGCAGAATATGCACGAAAATTTGACATTTTAGCTGAAATTGATTTTTCGGACCACACTTGGACAATTTCGTGGTCCCCTCCGAGTCCGAAAAATCGGTCGGCGACTGTACTTGAGTTGTAGCCCCGCTATTTATGAACAAGGCCTTTGCATCTACTCTCCCGCAGAACACATATACAGCCAATCATCGCGTTGCACATAAATAACATAGCGAATAACCAAATGAGGGGCACGATTCTCCATACAAATGCAATCTTCACAGATGGTATCCTCGCGCTAAGAAGTTATCTCTGTCCTGTAAGCAGCTGGAATCATGATGTCGATAGCGGTGATTGGCAATTTGCGTGCCTGCGGAAAAGCAAACACCCCGGTTTTCTTCATAAACAGTGCAGCTTTTAATCAAGTAAATACGGTAATGCAGCCTGAAATTTGGAAGAACTCTGACTCTGTGAGCGGTCTGGTTCTGCAAAACTAGCGTACAAAGCTATTTATGTTTCGGAAGCTAAAAGAACTTCTCACGGCACATAAATTTGTCCAGCCAAACTGAGTATAATAAAGCCGTTGGATTTAAAACTGTATTGAAATTACCATATATTTTTTCAGACATAGCCCCACTTTCTTTGAATTATGATACCCTTTCACCATTGTCAGTAAGAGCCTAGTGAGCTGTGGAGCTGACTGGTACTCTTTTTTTCACTCTTGGAACCCCCCCCCCCCCCTTCAGCATTGATGCAGTAAAGTAGTGCAGTAAAGCTATTTGGCATCAGTAGCTGGCTCAGACCTTCTAAAGTCTAATGCTTAACCTGGTAACATTTTACTTAAGGGTTAAGGCGACCAAAGAAATATGAAACTTTGGTTTGAGCTCAGTTTGAGTTTGGGTTGTGCTTAGTGTGAGCACCCTATGCTATAAGGAAAAAAAAAACTACCTTATGCTCTTTCGTTATATGTGACCATGCAAATGTGAGTTTGGTTTCCTAAATTGTCAGTAGGAGTTCAGAATATTTTGCTAGCTAAGCTGCCTTTTTTGAAGTAAGGTGTATAGCCGTCTTGAAATCATACTTACTAAATAGAAATCAATACATATCTTTTTCTAATTATAATTCAGGTAGGCTAGCTGAGGCAGCATATTGAGCCCATCGTTATTTATTTTGTGTATTAATGATATTGGTACCGTGGCTCAAAATATTGATATCAAAATAAATATATTTGCCACTGATACAAGTATTTTTTTCTACTCATACCCGTGTTCGTACAACTATTTCTACAATACAGGAAGTGCTAGACCAAATTACAGCCTGGACAACTAACAATAAATTTAAATTAAATTGTAACAAACCGAAAGCTATGTTTAGACCTCATAATAAAATGGTAGATGTCCTTCCTTGTGTTAAAAACAATGAGGAAATTTAATTTGTAGATGAGATTAAAATATTGGGTGTTTTTTTTTTATGAGATATGAGTTTGAATGCTCATATCGACTATTTAACAAAGCTATCAAAGAATGTTGGCCTATTAACAAAATTCAAAGCTACATTTCCTATTCAAATCAAATTTATAATTTGTTAATTTGTTCCCATCTTAATTACTGTAACCTTGTATGGGACACCACAACAAAGAAAAATCTGACTAAATTACATCTTCTACTTTACCACATTGAACATTTCATCTAGTAGGCTAACCTAAATTTCACACTATTTTGCATAGCCTAAGATATAATCAGCCATGGATGATATACACATCGCATACAAACTACCATGATCAAATGCTTCATGTCAGTCTGTCCACCATGCTGAATAGTCCAGGCAAAGAAAGGATCAGCATACTAGATACACTATCACATAAAGGTTTATTGAATTTTATACTTTCAATGTGAACCTTATATAGATTATTTTTCTGTGCAGCACAGTCTGGTTCTTTATAGCATTGATCTTTCTGCTGTCCAACATATTGTGTCATCTGGTATCATATGGTTCTGCACTTTTTTTATATTGTTTTTCTAATCTGTGTATAGTTTGCATCATACAATATATTGCATATATAAAAATGTGCTCTCACGCTTTGTTTGTTTTATAGATATATGTAGTTGCTTTGCGTTTCTGTTTATTTTTCCACATATGGTCATTTTTGCCGTTGCGATCTGCGGGTTGGGGAGGGGGGCTGAAACCTTCGTCAAGCTGCTTTTTATCAGCTTTTTCTACCAGTCCCCTGTTTGTCATGTTTGTCTTGTGACAGCACATAAACTTGATTTGATTGATATGTTTTTTTGATAGGACGAGGTATCTTGATCTGTCATGATTCTAAAGGTCCTCTTTGCTTCCAGATGGTGAAGTACTTTGACAGCCCAATCAACAAGGTTGCAGTCTCAATCTCAGTTCCACTAAAGATTCACGGAAAAAAAGATCCCTTCCTGAAGCTCGAAGGTGTTAAGGTGAGGTTGCTCTAGTATTTAGTGTATAGTTGATCGTGCTTCATGAGGATACGCAGTTTTAATAACATAACTTCAGTGATAACGAGTCTTAGCTTCACCATGATAATATTTTGATGCATATTACCTATCCCTGCATGTAATCTGCGCCTCCAACTTACTACTGTCAGACAAAGCAAGAAAATACCTTGCATATTACCCACACCACGTAAAACAATGTCCAGATCTCGCTAGAAATCCTACCTTTAAATACTCTCATCGCTGCAGTCACTGCAGCTATCTGAGGTGGCTACACTGTCGCCGGCAGCATCGTAATCCAAGCCGTCGAGGCAATTGCTGATGCAGCAATTTTTGAAACTGTGTCGCACCGTCTCGTCTGGAAAGGTCGCGGTCGTGCCAGATCTCTGCTGATGCTGCATGACTGCTACCTCTTCTCCCCTCAATGAACTTCATGAGCGCTCTTTCAAGCTCGCGGTATGCACCATTCGGACCTTGGAATGATCTTTGGTCGCGGCTTGCAGTTTGCAGGCTCTCCTCCCTCGATTCTTGCACACATGACTCGACAACCTTGTAGTGGCCGTAGTTCCGGCATGCCGCTCAACTTCGCAATCTCTCAAGCAATAGATCTGACATCACTCAGATTCTTGGCCGAAGAGATCGGAAACTGCAAAGATTGTTTCATTTATTTATTTCAATACCCTCATGGCCCATAAAGCATTGCAAAAAGGGAGAGTGTACAATTTCACACTGAAAGAACTAACACTATAAGAATACAAAGGAAGTAAGCAATTTTTGTTAGAAAATAGCTAGTCCGACGTGTTAGCAAAGAAAGTTAGTTAACGTCTCTCTAAATAGTTCAATTGCTGGTATGTTTACCAGAGGACCATCGCTGCCGTCGACGGCGGCAATGCTCAGTGCGTTGCCGTCAAATTGATGGCTCGACTCAGCTGCTCAGTCCACAAAACACATTGGATTAAAGATGGCTACCCGAAAAAAGGAGGAGAAGGTGGGGAGAAGAAAGTCTTTTGTATGCTAACCAATGTCGTGTTCACTCTAAGTGTGTCAGGCAGTACATCTGCCCTTAAAATCCCCTTACAAATGAGAATTTTGATCCTGAATACTATCTCGGCATTGTCATTCAATTGTATTGTTTTGTTTGTTGCTTTGATTTTCTCAACTGCGCGAGAAAGTAAGTACACATGCAGATTTGGTTCATAAAAAGTTTTGCTCATTTTTGAGTAATATCTTATTTAAAGGTTCAAATGGAAAAAAAAATAGAGACAAAATAATAAAGACGTTTGAGGTGTTAACCCATCTAGCTCAGTTTGCTATTCGGCTACAACATTGTATTAGGACATAAGACTGGCGATTTAATTGGCATTTGAACCCTATGCAGGTGTTGTAAATACTTATGTGTTGTTGCATCTGTTCAGCGTTTACACTAACTGACCTGTGTTCAGCTGTTAAATACCATTCCACTTGGGTGAAAAAAGGAAGGGGAATGCAGCCTCAAAGTTTTGGCAGTTCCGGCGGTACTGTCCACTGAAGCTGCTTCATCAATGAGAACGGCGTGTGCCCTTTACTTTTTTTACCCCGTCGAATCCATTGAAACGCCCGCTGAAGATGGCCAGTTTGTCATCTGCTATCGGGATCGGGTGCATGCCCTTTTTCTCTTTTACCCTGTTCATTCTGTTAGAATGCCCGGATGTACATAAATGGTATTACAGCCAAATGAAATGACATCCCCCAGGGACCCACGTAGCATTCAATGTCGTGCGAACATTCCCTGGGTGTTCTGAATGTTGAAGGAACGTTAAACACCATTCGGAACGTTCTAGGAACGTTCGTATGCGAACATTCCTTACAAGGTAAGCTGCTCAACATTCTAAAAACGTTTGTTGGCGAACATTCGTATGCACAATGTTCTCGGAACGTTCCCCTTTGAACATTCATATGTGCAACATTCTTAGAACGTTCGCTTCCGAACATTCCTAGGATTTTCGCAGGTGAAGCCAACTTTACGGAGCTTTCAAGCAACCTGTGTTTCGAAACACCATCCACTATATGCCACCTTGTGCCAAAAATATGCAAATTAAGTCGAGGTTTTGCAAACTTAGCATAAGGGATCAGTTTTATCTTGTACGAGTGTACCGAGGAATGTGAGATAAGGTGTAGGAGAAAAGCAATGGTCTTCAAAATTTGATAATGAGTTTTGCACTCACTGCGTATGTAGAGGGGCAGTTTTGAATAGACCCGATTTTTAGCATCTCGGCTTCAATACCTTGACGAAGGTATGTCCCGCTTGAGTGTGGGATGCCGTAGGTATCTGTTCTTATGCTCCGAGTGAGTAATCGGTTATGTAAGCCGCACGTTTTGATAAGTAGGAGTAAAAGTAAACTGCCGTTATAGTACAGGCTGTGGCTAATGCGCTGGTAAAGCGGCTAGGTTGTGCTAGGCCTAGAAAAAATATATTTCGATTAAAAAATATTGTTCGCTCTTTGAGATTTATTATATCAATATATGTAGTACGGCTCAGTGGGGCTGTAACGTAAGCAAGCTATAATTGTGGAATCTGTAAACGTTCCTCAGAGAATGTTGCAGACGTTCTATGGATGTTTTGGGAACGTTCTTAAAACCTTGTTAGAATGGTGATTAAATGTTCTGTCGTGCTCAGAATGTTCTAAAAATATCAACTAGAAAACATTCCCCGAATGTAGCGATAAGTGCCTGCGCCACATTCTGACAACGTCGAGAGAATGTTCTTACGTAAATTAGCAACATTCAGAGAATGTTGCAGAAGTTCTTTGGATGTACTGAGAACGTTCTTAGAACCTTGTTAGGATGTTTCAATGTTGATTGAATGACCTGGTAATGTTCTATGTCGTTCTCAGAACGGTCTAAGAATATCCCTTTGAAGACATTCCCCGAATGTAGCGATAAGTGCCTGCGCCACATTCTGACAACGTTGATAGAATGTTCTTACGTAAATCTTCAACATTCCAAGAATGTTGTCTATGTTATTTTGAATATTCCCGGAATGTTCTCAGAACGTTTTCGTGCTACGTGGGGAGCTCTGAGTGGAATGGACTATACTGCCACACCATCGATGCATTGCATGTCTTATATACTGTGCAAAACCTAAGAAGAATGAATGCTTCTGTTCTGCACAGGCGGATGACGGAACCAGAAGCAAGGTTGGTGGCAGTTGCAATGGCTCGGCCAGCGTCAAAAAACGATCCGCCTCGGCAGAAACAGTGGCAGGCCACCCAAGGTCTCTCAGGGAAGCCAGCGCTCTCTCCATTCTTGAAAGCAGGTTCCCAGTGGCGCAGGTCAAGACGCTAACACTGGTAAGCGAATGAGATCAGCTCAGTTGGCCTGACTTCAACCTACCATATTTACTGGAGTAATAGCCACACTATTTATGAACAAGGCCCTTGCATCTACTTTCCTGCAAAGCACATATACAGCCAATCATTCTGTCCCGCATAAATAACATAGTGAATAATTTTTGTTTTCTGGTACTTCATGAGCGTTCGCAGATCTGATTTGCCTACATGACTGCATACGTGTGTTGGCCGCCTCCGTCAGATTAGGTACTACAGTGCGTTCTCTCGATCGAGATTTAGCTTGGGATTTTTTTAATTCTAGAGAGTTTACTGCTTGCCAGATGACAAGTTTCTTATCTTCTCTGTATAGACCTTCTCATCTTAGCAGTTGCCTGACCGGCATATTTCTAAGATGGCAGCACCGATGTGACGGAGGATGAAATGGTCTCTAGAGAGTGTGTGCCTGTTTCTCTGAGAAAAACCTGCTAAGGACTTTCTTGCCTTTCTTAGGCAGAAAGTTTTTGTTGAAGATGATTGTCCATTGATTGCTATAAATTTGTCACTCTACATTGTTACGTAATACAGTTTGGTTCAACTAACTTGTGCAAAGATTTAGAAAAAGCTGGTGCATGCTACGTGTGTCGGGTCAATGCAATGTTGTTCACAATTCTATTTAGGTGTTTCCTGCAACGTTCCAAACTGGCTAATTAGCACAGATTAATTAGGTAACTTTCTAAATACTAATTCGTGCACTCCAACACAAAAGTTGTAGAGTGTGTTGAACGCCATTCCATCGTGTCATTTTAGTCTAGGTAGCGTTTTGTGTGTCTAAACTATATAGCTTTATTAAAGAAAGAATGTGAGATTTAAGAAGGTCTCGCGTGACTACCCACTATTAAACTGCGATATTAGTGCCCAGTCACTTGAGAAGTTCTTTTAAATCTGGCTTGCTTTCATGAAAGCTACAAAAAAGTTACGCAGACTTCTTTATTAAAGCTATCTTGACGGAAACGACACGATAGAACGTTCCTTGACATGCCCTACAAGTTCAGTATTGAAGGGTTTGTGCACAAAATAATATTTAAAAAGTTAGCCAATTATTCCGTGTTATTTTGCCAGTTAAGCACATCACAGAAGTACCTCAACCTACTCTATAGGACTGTGAAGTATACTGCACTGTTTCAACATCTGTGGCACATGCACCAGCATGTTTTAAGTCTTGGCACAAGTTAGCTGAAGCACCCTGTATATTTGCGTGATGATTAAAGGGGCTATATTCTGAATTGATGGTGGGCACTAAAGTGTGGTGTTTGGTGGTAGATGATTTCTCTTGTTTATGTTCTAAAAACAAGTTCAGATGCAAAAAAAATGCTTCTTTTTTTTCTTTTTTCTAGGGTTGTTCTGATGCCGAATGTGTCTGGTTCACGTGCCAAATGGGCCCTTTTGCCTCAAAGAACAAGGTTGCTAAGATCGAGCTCCACATGACTCTCAATGTCACCAGGATCATGGAGCAAGTGGTAGGTTTTTTAAACTCTGAGGGGTGACCAAGAGATTTTAAAGGCTTTGTAAATGAAATACCGCTTGAACAAGCTCCATTTGGACAAGCTGTTCAGATCAACAAACTTTTAGAAAATTCCCCAGGAAAGCTTGATTGTGTCCAATCCATTCCGTTGAGTGAACTTTCAATTGAGCAGACTTTTTCTTGAAATTCCTTAAAGTTTGTTCAAGTGGTGTTTTACTGTACAGAGCTTACGAGCAGTGCTACGACTTACTCACGCTGTTTATGCAATTCTAATTACAGGGCACTCCCGACACGATTGACATAGCCACGGAAGGGTCACTTACCATCCTGGACGAGACAGAGTTCACGCACTTCGTACAGCATCAGCCAAGACAAAATACGGTATGTTCTTAAATTACTGCTCTTTTTGATGCTTGTGAGCGGCATATAGACATAGTACTGTGTACTATGTTCTATGTATATGTGTACTATATGTATATGTACTATGTACGTACGTATATGTGTACTATGTGTATAGTGCAGAGCACTATAACATAGTACTGTGTACTAGCTATGTTCAACCAACTAGGCCATCAAATTATTTTGCGGTGCATAGACATACTGGTTATAGAGCTACTTTGTATGGATTATAATGAATGTTTTAGAAAATGGAATCTGATGCAAATTAGCTGAACTGATGTTTATCTTCAGTTTTATACCTGGTTGAAGCCTCTGAGCGAGCCATTGGTCAATCTCTAATCGTTTTGTTTCTGTGGACGTCCTAGTTGTAACTTTGTTTCCTTGCTGTGTAAAATTACAATTTTTCATGTAGAATTAATATTTTGCCCCTACACATTCCTTAATTTCTTTCTCTGATAGCCAATTCTTCTACAAACCTTGTGCAGTGTATGAACCTTGTACAATACTTGCTTTTTGCTTTAATGCAGCAACCAAGAAAATGTTCATAACTCAAGAACTGCCCTTTTTTTTTGCACGACAGCTATTAGTCACGAATTGTCCTCTTGACACTTTGACCCGTTTTTTCTCAATTATGTGCTATGATGACACAGAACTCAGAATACCTAACTTGTAATAAAGCCATTTAAGGAAAATTCTCATTTATGAATGTAATAGAAGGCTCAAAACATACTATTCGTGACCACTGAAGCAGCAAAAACCACCCGTATTTAAAGAAACCTTGAATGCGCTGTCGCGGAGAGTGAAACAACCGAAGCAGGCACGTAGCCAGGGGGGGGCCCATGGGGCCTGTGCCCCCCCCCCCCGAAATCTTCCATTTTGCTGGGGCCTCCTCTTTCCCCTCCCTCATACAGCATATTGTCATAAGTACCCCCCTCCCCCCCCCCCCCCCCCCCCCCCCCCCGAATCCAAATCCTGGCTACGTGCCTGAACCAAACTGACTTCCAGTGTCTCTGACTTCCTATTCCTCCACAATGGTTCTCCAGTTTCGGTATGACCTTGTTTTTTTCCAGCTATTGCGCAACTTGGTAGCAAGATCTGTTTTGAAAGCATATTCTGCGCTTCCTTCCATACGCCCCTAAGCTGGTGGTGGCAGCGTGGTTGCCAGACCAATTAACCACCTCTCTCTCATTGCCCGATCGCACTCTCTGCACATAGGTATGGATCATGTGGCGAAGGGTAGACGCATGATGGGTCCGTTCATCCCAAACTACGACCGTATATTGTCAGCTTAGGATGAATGGAGCATTGGCTAGGAGATATTTCAAGGGCTTCCTCTTACTGTTCCAAAGTCACGTACTGGATCCTGAAAAAGTAGGGTCACCATTTAGGTTTATGAAATGAGCAGTTACTCCTTGACCTCTCTGTTCCTGGTGAGCGGATCTAAACTCCCGGCGACAGGATGCTTTATTAAAGGCATTTCTTGAATATTGAGGTTTTGTTATTCACACGCCCACGAAACGAGCGCATGTTTTCGCACCTCCACCACATGCATCGTTGGTGCTTCGTGGCATTGAAAAATCATTTTCCTGTTTTGAAATACGCAAGAACAATAATTTCATTGTAAGAGGTCTGTGGAGATATGCATGATTGATAAGTTGATTGCATGCACAGTGCCAGAGACGTTCAGTACGATCATGCTTCATAGCGATCTTGGTGCGAATGGTTCAGAATAGCCCTTTCAAAGTTTCAAATTTCGAATTTATCACAATGGCGATTTCCATGCCAACTGAGACCGATTAGCCAATCACCTTGCGAGGTTTGTACGTCTCTATGTTAGTATTTGTTTGTGTCCGGCTAGCAGGCAGGAAAGGCAATGGCGCCATTTTTCAAGGATCCAGTGACTTTAGTCGTTTCTGTCTGTGACATCATGGCCAGGATTATCCATTGCCAGCGTCAATTTCGATAATGTATGTAAAAAGCACGGTGGAAGCTTCTTGTGAGCGCATCCTTAAACCAACAATATCAAAGTCGCCAGTCTGGCATTCCTCTTATTTCCATGAACGAAAATAGAATTAATCATACTCAAGGCGTCACAATGGGCATTTGGCCAGTCGTGGAAGGTCAACCATAGCAACGCTTTTGGTCGCACATGTTGCCAGTAGTATGTTGTGGCTAAAAAATTAATTCGTACGAGGTGGGATCAAAAAGTTCCGGGACTGATTTTGTAGTGTAAAAAGAAAGGGCAGCACAGTGATGCGTGCGCAGCAGTCGAAGGAAGGGACTGTTATGTCTCGTTATACCAAAGGGCGTCGCTCTGTGAACATTTGGAGCTACGCTACACAAGTTTTTGTGACCACACGCACTGGCACAATGGCGATTTCACCATGACTGCAAACCAGAGCGAGAGCGAACGTCGATTCTGCGTCAAACTTGGCAAACATAAAACAGAGACCTTTGAAATGATTCAGCTGGCTTCTGCCAAAATCAGTTAATTTTTCCAAAGTGTTTTATGTGGCACTCGTGCTTCAGGAACAGCAGAACATCGCTAAAAGACAAAGAGCAATAGGGCTACATTATCCAACCTCTCCTTGATCTTAGTGCCATTCTGCCATTCTTGAGGCATGAGTGCCACTCAAAACATTTCGCACAAATCACTGCTTTTTAACATAAGCCTTCTAAATCATTTCAGAGGTCTCTGTTTTAGATTTGCTGAGTTTGACTTAGAATTGATGTTCGTTCTCGCTTTGGTTTGCAGTCTACGGAGAGATCGCCATTACGCTCGTGCATGTGGTCAAACAAACTGCGCTACACGAGTTTTTGACCACATCCTGGACCCTTTTGATCACACCTCGTACTATTCTAGGCTGTCGGAGGCTTTTAAACACCACATTACTCAGCCTTGACCACAGCCGATATGCTACCTCGTTTGGAGATTTGTGTGGTGTTTTCATTTATGCCAGAGCCCTCGGTTGATGCCCTGTGTTTGGCGCTTCCCAGATTGTGACGTCGCTGGTCAAGGAAGGTCCCCCAGCTCCGTACCGGTTACCGTGGTGGGTCTATCTGCTCATCGTCCTAGGAGGTCTCTTTCTGTTGCTGCTCATCATCTACGTTTTGTACAGGGTACGTAGAAACTCCTCTCATTCTACTGACCTCGTTTAGTGCTGACTAACCTCTAGCTGATGGCTGATGTGGCATGTTCGCAGTTTTATGTCTAGGGTTTGGGCACACGCATGCTGCAATACCTCAATTCGTGAAACTGCTGAATACACCAGTTTTTTGCTTTTTATATTTATTTATTTTTATTACCACAATAGCATCTGCTCGTGATGTGCTCGAGTCATTATATGTTAAATGAACACAAATGTTTATAATCTTGTAAAGAAGGGATATGCCCCGTTTTGTTTTGCGATGGACTGCAGCAGACACTACGAGCCATTAAAGCCAGTCCAATGCGGCGTGAGAGTTGCGTGCCCTTCCGGAGGACTGCAACAACGCGTGTGGTGTTCACGTGATACGTTCACATCGCTGGATTGGTTGGCATGGCTTACGCTGTCTGCTGTAGACTATCGTGAGGTGAAATGGAGCATAGAAGTATTTATGGCGGTGGTGCCCTTCACAATGGGGGGTATCAGGCTGGTGGTTAGTAAATCTGGTTCCCTGAAGCAGTGGTGAGTTGAACATAGATTCACATCTATATGTAAGTAAGATTACACCTAAGCAGCTGCTCTCTCTTGAAGTAGTCTGTGACGGTGTCGCGTGAATGCTGGGAGAAAAAGAAAAGGAAGAAGATCGAGCAGAAAAAGAAAAAGAATGTCACCACGCCTCAACGAAGCCGAACATTAAAAGAGATATTTCGACGACCAATCGAGCTTCGTTGCATTTGGCGCCCAATGTGGGGCTCCGTAATGAGGTAAATTTATGTGGGGACGGCGGTCATTATCAAATCGCCCATTAAGCTCTTCGCATCAACGAGAAGGCTTAACTACAACGTCAGCAACGATGCATGAAGACGGCGCAAAAAGCGGCAGTGACGCGTCGTTGCGAGCTAAAGTTGAGGCGGCAGTTGCACGGAGCGAAGAACTTCAGCAGATCCTTTCGAGGAGGGACGAAGAAATCGCTGAATTGAGGCAACGCATCGCAGAGCTTCTTAGCCGACAACAGAGACTGTTCCCGCACCAATGCCTGCCTATTCTGCAAGTGCTGCTGGGGATAGCACTTCTCTGAAAGCCATGGAGACCCTGGTGTGCGGATTACTGTCCCCAGTAATCGAGAGACTCAACTGCTTGGAGGCCGCGAGCTCGAGAAGCAACTCTGAAAGCAGCGACGAGGGCTCCAAGCACCGAGGGCAACAGAATAAAATATCCAAGAAAAAGAAACGGCAGCAGCGGTCGCTGCATACCGAACTACAAGAGAGCGTTCCAAACTCATGCAGCACATCTGAAATCAGAGACAAGGGCTCGAACCAGCAAAGCCAGGGGAGAGGACTGGGAGATACCATCAACCATCGAGTTCAGCCATCCACCGCGGCCGTAAGTGCAGCTCCCCTCCTTGCCACTGACGTAATTGGTTGATTCCATCAGGTCGAATTTTGGCTGAAAATTTACGGGCTGCCGGAAGATATCGCACTGCCGCTGCTCATATCAAAGCTACCTTCCAAAGATTTTGCTCGGATGCACTTCGAGCTTAACTCCAAGAATATGAGCACTTATAATGACGTGAAGTCCGCGTTTCGGCGGCACTACAATTTAGAAAGCCCTGTGGAAAGTCAAAGAGCAATGTTTGCTCGAAGACAGACCTCCACAGAAACGTGCATGGAGTACGCTATTCAGAAGCTGCAACTGATAGAAGAATCTGTCTTCACAGGAAGCGAAGCCGAGAAGTGCGAATTGCTTCTTGAATCGCTTAACGACAAGGCAAAGCGGATGTATTTCGATAGAAGCTTCACATCGCTTGATGACTTGCTCGATTCTTTTATGAAGTTTGATCGGGCAAGCGGAAAAGCCAAGAAGCCCGAAGAGAAGTCATTAAAAGTTTCAAACTTCCACGAAGGAGGGGCCGATGTGTTGTGCAGTTTCGTCAAACTTGATCAGCAACAGCAGCCTGGGGAAACACGTCAGGAATACGATGCAGCGAGCAGTGCGAATGACAAACCACGACCAAGCCTGACATACCAAAGGGAATTCCGTCGCCAGAACAATGCAGCCCAGACCAAGGCTCAAGGATCCCGTCGGAAAGTACTCAAGCTTTGCCTAAATTGCAAACAGGAAGGCCACTTTGTTACATGGTGCCCCCAGCCTCTCACGCAAGAATTTCTTGAATGGCAGCGCGCATTTCAAGCGGAGCCTAACGTTTCGGCTGACCTGGAAAACTCCGACCTGGTGTTTTCGGGGCCTGCGGGGAGACACCAGTAGTGCAGCGCGTTAGCTGTGAATCTTCTGCGGGCGTCAAACGGGTCCCAGTCTTTATGGAAGATCTTGAACTCAGTGCAGTTTTGGATTCTGATTCCACCAGAAGCCTTGTGAATGAAGCTGTTTGCCAGAGACTTCAGATGACACCTTCAAAATCTTCCCTGAAACTTGTGGGAGCAAATGGGCTGCCACTTGAAAATAATGGAGAAGTGAGTGTCGACATTACGGTGGACGGAAGGTCATTCTGACAGACTTTTGTGGTTGTCCCACATTTAAAGGAAGACTTAGTCTTACTTGGAAATGACTTTCTACGCTCATCAAAAGCATTTATCGACTGGGGTACAAACATGTTTTCGATCCAAGCCGAAAAACCACTCAAGGTTTATGCAACGACCACCCAAGTAGTACCGCCTCTTTCCCGGAAAGTCATCGAAGTCGTGTTGGAAGTCCCAGACGGCGAGACAAGTCGCGATATCTTATACGTAACAGGTTCTCTATCAGCTATTGAACGGTACCTGTTGGAACTGCAACCGACAGTCATCGATGCAGGAACAAAGACTTTCAAACTTTTGGCTACAAACTTTTCCTTGAGGCCATCCAAAATACCTGCGAGGGCATCTTTAGGATCAGCAGAAAAGGTAGACGCTGTTGAAGCGGTTGACTTGTCTCCCATCGAATGGGAATCAGTCCTGCAATGTTCCAGTTTTTCTGATCTTGAGAACCAGGAAGATGTGCCGAAAGTCCGCAACGAAACGCAGCAGATAATAATTGATGAGTTGAGCTTTAACGTGGGAGCTTTGCTGAACTCCGAAGAGCTGGAGGCAGTAAAACAACTGTTGATGAAGTATCGTTCTAGTTTTGCAACCGACAATGCACACCTGGGATCTTGTACGATAGAGAAACATTCCATTTCTACTGGTGGTGCAAAGCCAATAGCACAATACCCAAGGCGAATTTCACCGGCTCAAAGAGATTTGGTGAAGGCTATAATAAAAGACCTAATGGATGCAAAAATTATCCAGCCCTCCAAAAGCTCCTGGGCATCACCACTGGTTCTAGTTAAAAAAAAGGACAAGTCGACAAGGACGTGTGTAGACTACAGGAAGCTAAATGCTGTAACTGAAAACGTTGTCTATCCACTACCACGAATCGATGATGCTCTGGCGGCATTGAGTGGGAGCAAGTATTTCTCAACATTGGACCTGCTTTCAGGATTCTACCAAATAGAGGTGGAACCTGGCGACACCGCTAAGACAGCTTTCGTTATGCAGTGGGGGCTGTATGAATTTATAAGAATGCCGTTTGGGTTAAAAGGGGCACCGGCAACGTGTCAGCGAACTGTAGATGCCATTATCGGTGATTTAAAGTATTGCAACGCACTGGTCTACATGAACGACTGCATTGTTTACAGCACAACGTTCCAAGATTACCTTCGACAACTGGGAAATATTTTCGCGCGTTTTGAGGCAGCAAATTTCAAGTTCAAACCGCAGAAGTGCCATTTTTTTTGCACCAGAGTGACTTACCTTGGACATATTAAGGAGTTTTAGAATAACGTACGCAATTTTAGCGCACGCTAGCGCTAAATTTAGCGCTTGTATTAGCGCCCGCGACGCAGGAGAGTTTTAGAATAGTGTTTCTCCGTCGCGACGCAAAAGCCCAAGCATCTCGCGCTTGCGACGCCACCAAGATACAGTCACAATTTTTATTTCACACACGAAATGCTGTAACTTTAAAAAGTAACAAGTTTTTTGGTCCAGAGTACCATTTTAGATTTGTTTAAACACGAGAATGCGACGTGAGCGGTTGACTGGTCGTGCCCGCTTGCGTTGCCTCGGCAAGAGAGGTCTCGTGTACTGACCTTCACACATCGTACCTTCGCCGAGAAGTGCTCGCGCGTCGCAAGCATCAAGTTGCCGGTGATTGTTGCCAAACCGAGTACAATTTCGTCTCGTAGTGAAAATCGCAGTCATGAGGATGCCGCCGACGTCGCACTCACGACGCCGCCAAAGCAGCCGCCGACATAATCCTGGAAGCCGCCATTTTTGCTTAACTCTGCTCGTCTTGGCTTTAGCCAACCTCTCATCATGAATCCTCCTTGGAGAAGCGCAAAGGCTCTTTGCGTACGCACGCTATTTCCGAGAAATACCGCACGCTAAAATTGCGATCGCAAAGCGCAAAACCTGATTTGCGTTCGGAGCATGCACAGTGGCGACGACGCTATTCTTTGCGTGCGCAAAGCTTTAGCGTGCGCTATTCTAAAACTCTTTATTGTACTCAGAAAGGTATTGCACCTGATCCAGAGAAAGTTGATGCCGTAACACGATTCCCCGTTCCTAGAACTGCGGCTGAATTTCAATCGTTCTTGGGACTGACGTCCTATTTCCGAAAGTTCATTTGGAACCATAGTGCCATCGCAGCCCCCTTGAGAAAGCTCCTGAAAAAGAAGAAGCCTTCACATTGGGTGCTCCACAAGAGCACGCCTTCCATGAACTGAAATCTGCTTTATGTGGACCTCCCGTCTTGAAGCACTTCTCAGAAGACTCTAAATATGGCCTCCAGGTCCACACTGATGCTTCCAGAACCGGCCTCGACGCCATCCTCCTCCAGGAAGATGAAACTGGGGATTACAGGCCTGTTGTATACCTCAGCCGTTCTCTTCACAGAGCTGAAGAGAACTACACATCCACTGAACTTGAGGCCCTTGCAGTTAAGTGGTCCCTGGAACAGCTACGTCCCTACCTAATGGGCAGAAAGTTTCATGTTGTTACAGATCACCATGCGCTCTGCTGGGTTCTTTGTTACAAGGAGGGAAACCAACGCTTGCTCGGGTGGTCTCTCCTGCTCCAAGAATTCGACTTTGAAGCTGTGTACAAGTCTGGCGCATGTCACACTGCCCCCGATTGTCTGTCCCGTATTCCAAGTTGCTTCTGCTCAGGGGAACCTTCGAGTACCAACGGCTCGGGAGAGACTGGGAAGACCCACACTTGCAATGTGTTTGAGGTCAAAGAGCCCAACTTAACCTCTGAGCAGAAGGAGGACCCGTTCTGTACAAAAATCGTAAAGATACTGCAGAAAAAGGCTGGTACAAAGAAACAGCAGAAGAGAGCAAGTAAGCAATTCATGCTTTTTCATGATGTATTGTACAAAAGGGATGCAGGACCAACGCATGAACGATTTGTTTTATGCTTGCCGGCGACGAAGCGAGCGGAAGTACTTCACGAATTTCATGGAAGTCGATTCGGAGCACACATGGGAATCCGTCGCACATACGAGAAAATCCACAGTAAATATTTCTGGCCTCGACAGTATCTGGATGTCCAATGGTTCGTGAAAAGCTGTGACCTTTGTGAACGGATGAAAATGACTACGACGTGCCCTTACGGACTGCTGCAGCCAGTTGAAGTCGATGTGCCATTTCATACAGTTGGACTCGACATAATTGGGCCCTTCCAGGCTTCACGAAGGTACAAGTTTGTCATAGTTGCCATAGACTACCTAACCAAGTTTGTTGAGGCGAAAGCTGTTCGTAACATTGAGACTTCCACGGTGCAGTAGTTCATCGAAAGGAAAATTATCCTCAAGCACGGATGCCCCACAGTATACTGGTTACGGACAGGGGCACACAGATGACTGCCAGATCAACTTCCGATTACCTCAAGTACTGTGGTATATGTCACGCAACGACTACAGCTTATCACCCAGCTGCCAACGGCCTCGTCGAACGAGCCAACAAAACGCTGAAACATATGATGCGAATCACCACCTCATCTGGAGAGAAGTGGGCCGATATTTTCCCCTATATAGTGTTCTGCTATAACACAGGATATCAGGACACAGTTCATACTTCTCCTTTTTTCCTTCTGTATGGACGTGACCCTGTTTTCCCCTTAGATGTGGCTTATAACAGGAAAGAGCTGCAAGAACTGCAAGCAAGCTTCGAATACGCGGTGCTCGTGCGTGAGCGCTTGAACGAAGCGTGTAGATTGACTGCATGACACATCAAGTTGGGTCGGGAGAAGCAGAAGAGACTATTTGACGAACAACGAACTGACATAACGTTAGAACGAGACCAGTTGGTGCTGTTGAGGACCCCGCCAGTGGGGCTTAAAAAATGGACAATCTACGCTGGGCCTCATCGAGTTGTGGCCAAGCTATCGCCGGTGAATTATGAAATAGAGTTCGGTGATGGTTCAGGGCGGGACATCGTGCACGTAGAAAAACTGAAACCGTATCTAGAGCCTGTTGCAGAATTTTCACTCTCCTAAAACTGTTCAATAGAAGACTGTTTTATACTTGTACAGGAGTTGCAATTACCACGTGGGACGATTGTGTCGTGTCTGTACTTGAATGTTGTATTATATGTGTACAGGACTTGCAATTACCGCTTCGGACGATTGTGTTTTGCGTGAACTTGAATACTGTTTTATACGTGTACAGCACTTGCAACTATCGCGCGTGTTTTGTGTGCTTTAAGTGTCTTCATAACACCAGTTTCTTTGCGTATTGTGTGCGTCGGGTCAACGCCTTTTTGAGGCGGCGGCATGTGACGGTGTCGCGTGAACGCTGGGAGAAAAAGAAAAGGAAGAAGAAGATTGAGCAGAAAAAAAAAAGAATGTCACAAGCCTCAACGGAGCCGAACATTAAAAGAGATATTTCGACGACCAATTGAGCTTCGTCGCAAAGTCTATTAGCTGTATTACTGTCTAAACTCAACTTTCTCTTACAATGTTTTGTGTACACTGGACCCTCGCAGGCTCCGCCCTGCCTTAGCAGCGCACAGTCACAATTCTTTCAACGAGCAACGACACATTTATATGATGGTGATTGCACTGCGAACACCACTTTGGTCACAAAGGAATTGAAGGAAAGCAAAAAACTACTAGAAAAAGAATAAAGAAAAAGATAGCTGAATTTTAACTCCCTGAAAAAGAAGAAAAATAAAGTACTTGGTTTTTCTTGGGACGATTCTGACGCAAGGAATTCGAGCTTCTGTCAATAACGACAATGGAGGTTCTGAAACATTGTCTGTGGCATTTTTTGATCTTAAATGTTTCAATTATTTTTTGGTGTGACACAACCACTGTAGTGTTTATATAGCTAGGGGTGCAATCATGGCAGGTGTGGGCATGATTCAGATGTGTCGTCGCTCATTGAAAGAACTGCAAATTTCTGTCCTTTGTCCATTTCAGCTTTGTATTCTTTCTGTGTGAAGTATAGTTAACACGCTCTGCTACGTGTACTTAATATCTGTGCTGCCTGGGAATTTGGGCAAACTTTGCATTCACTTTATGCCGTGTCCTTTTCCAGTGCGGTTTCTTCCGAAGAAAAGCGAAAGAAGACCTGGAGCGCTCCAAGAGGGAATCCCTCGCGGCCAGCAGTGTTGCACATTCGCCCACCACCGAGAACCCGCCGTCCATGCCCGGGGACGACCCTGAGGTTCGCACCAGCCTCCTAGCCCCTGAGGCCCGCGAATGATGGGGCATCGTCGGAGGCAGCTCGTGCTCAAGCATTCCCCACACCCCTAGTCACGTCCCACGGCATCAGCAGGCCATTGTTCCTCCCCTTCTTGAAATCGCCAGCAGCGTTTTCTTTCTCCGTCACTCGGGAAGTCGGCGGGGCTGCACCCGTCAAGTCCGCCAAATGCTAAGATGATATGAGAACTGTATACTGATTGTTCACTCGAACTCGCCAAATGCGCTTCTTGAGCTGATGCTCAATAGGCTTCAGTTGCAAGCGGGTTGGACGGCCCTGGTTTGGGAAAAGCGACCCGAAGTAGGTTACGCCGTAGGAAAGCAATGGACGAAAAAACGGGAAATGAGATGGTGTAGCGTTTTGTCACATCCTTACTTCGTCCTTTCTGTTTATTGTGCTGCAACTTTATGATTTTAGGCCTCTGCCATCACGGTGTGAGGTGTGAGCAAGGATGTGGCGCTGGAAATTTAAAGTGCATCGACCATACTCCGGGCGCATTTTTCGGTAGTGGTGAAAAAATAGACAATTCATTCTTTGAAGTCGATCTCAGATTCAAAACATTTTAGTGCTCCAACTTGCATAGTGTGATAGTTCAAGACACCTAAGCATTTTGGGGAATGTGCATACTTCAGTTACATTTTCCACCTTGTTTGAAAAAGTAATCAGGTTTGTGGTGGCAGGCTCTGCTGCTTTTTAAACAATTTGTTATTATCATTTTATAATGTTTTATTTTTCCTGGGAACAAGGTGATTTTAAGCTCTTAAATATTGACAAAGCAGGCAGATAAGAGTGAATGGAAAGTGCCCAATGACAGTTGTATTTCTCAATGACTATGTGATCAAGGTTGCACACTGTGTTGTATTGGTTTCATGTCCCATTGACAAGATCCTTAGAACACACACCAAGTGGCAAAATTGTCCTAACAGCATGGCAAGATTGTTGCTATCTACAGCACCCTAAATTCAGAGCGATTATTACAGATTAGTGTGCATGTTTCAGTTTGTATGCATGGACTTTTACTTTTTGAAGTAACTACATACTAGAGTGTGGTATACTTTAGGGCTTTGGCTCTATCTTAAAAATCTTTTAAAATTAGGTTAGTCACTAG